TGTTTACAGCAATTGTCCAATTAGGAAACAATGCGTTCTGATTTCTCCACTCATGTTGTGTTTTTTTAAAGGTAAAAAGAGGCCTGCTGCTAAATTTGCCAAAAGTAAGATTCAGGAGGAGGAGGAACTCATGATGCCTGCTCCTAAGGAGAGGAGTTCAAAGCCCGTGGGGAGCAGCACAGGAAAGGCTACCAAGAAGGCGGCCTGCCCTAGTGCACAGGGAAGCAAGCAAGTGTACAGCCACTGGCTGATGAAATCAGAGCCGGAGAGCAGGTTTGAGAAGGGAGCGGATGTGAAAGTAAGCACTGGATCTTCCTTACTGTCACCAGCCCAGCATGTGCGCTCAGGAATGAAGAGGAATGGAAGCTGTTTTATTTCTAGCTAGAGGGCTAGTGTCTAAACTTTATGGATTGTGGGGTCATAGGATTCAGGTTTAATATCAAAATTACCTTATTTCTTTCTTTCACAATAAAGAGTCACCCTCTTCTCAAATACCCTTCTCTTTCTGGGTGTGCGCACACACAGATTTCATTCTCTTCCAGGCCCAGAGAGATCCTGTAAAAAAGCCACACCAGGCAGTGTGTGTGGAACTCAATGTATGTACCTTGTGACCACGAATGGTTGAAGGCCCTGCTAGGATTTTTAATCCGGGTCAGCAGGAAGTCTTTCTGTTTCAGATCTGGTCCTTAGACTGCCAAAACATTGCCTCTGCAGCTTAACTTTCTTTACTTTAAACCAAGCAGGGACCAAAAGCTTTGTAACCCAGACAGTATGAGGAGAGATGCCCTAGAAACACATCAATGTACATAGACAATAAGAAAGGCTTCTGTGCACCAAATCCAAATGACAATCCAAGTCTAACCTCCTGTTTTTACTTTGATTGGGCAGTTCGGCATTGAAGACTTAAAGGCTCAACCCAATCAGACAGCATGCTGGGATGGAGTCAGGAATTACCAAGTAAGGAGCAGTGATTGAAGGCCTGGATTGCAAATACAGCATCATTGAAATATCACTATTGCAAACAAGAAAACAAAAATTAGCTCTTTATAAATGCTAGACTGCAGGCAAAATAGATGACTTGTTCACCCTGTGTCCAAATTCTTCCCCTGCGTACACTAAACCAATTGTTCCTACTTTCTGCACTTTGGCTAATTATCTATGGCTTAAAAAAAAAAATCTCCCCAGACATATTCAGGCAGGCCAGTCCTCTGGAAAGTAGTCTGATTTTTCTGTCTGGTTTCAGAAAGAAATATGCAGGTTCAAAGCAAACATCAACCCTCATTTCTTTCCTCTTCAGTTTTTTCCTGCAAAGCCCCAGCTAACAGGACTCCAGCTTCTTGTCTATGTAGTTTTCTGTTTCGGCACACTAGTACAGTGGGAAATCTAAGCACAATTTTGTCTCTTTATAAACAAAACCAGCTTTGCTGCTTGTTCTGTAACCGGGAACTTTAGACTCCTGCAGTTGCTGAATGAGGATGGCAGAGCTGCTGAATTCCAATAGACATTATAGCTACTACGACCCTGGGTCTTACTACTTTTTCTTACTTGAACTTAGAGAATAAAATATCTTGACATTTGTAGGAATGTTTGTATGAGCGGGTCTGAAGCACCAGTGTTCTCCACACTTCCATTCTTCCTTCTTGTTTCATTAAGCAGCTAATGGGCACAGCCTTTTGAAACTTTCCTATAGGGGACACTGCTTAGGCCCTCCTCATGGCTTAATTACAAAGTTCAGTGGTCTCTTATCTAATCATCTGACAGGCACGGAATTTCATGAGAGACATGAAAGTTGGGCAAGAAGCATTTTTCTATCACAGTAACTGCAAAGAGCCTGGGATTGCTGGAATTATCAAGGTGAGAGCCTTTTTCTAATCCTTGCAACAGTGAAATATTTCACTGCTGGTCTATTGGAAACAGCAGCACATTAGCCCTGCTCCTACCTCAACCCCAGAGAAATGCAAGAGTAGCCTAATCATTAGTTGTGAAGAGCCTACAATCACTGGTTCACAGACCAGCAGAGCTGACTCCCACTTCACCCTTTCCCAATTGAAACAGAGCCAATTTATGCGATCTCACTGGTTTCATGCTGGAGTGTTTCCAGACAAGGCAATGGAGTTATGCCAGATTTACACCAGCGTCCAAATAGAATCTGCCCCACTGGGTTCCACACAGTTGTGTATGAAGATGGTCTTTCGGATCAGACTTTAAGCATCTGACCTCTGTGGGTCTACAAGATTAAGAGTACATGGGTATCCCAGTGACATGGCCCTGGCCCACCCTCTCTCCTCCACTGTGGTGCACTGGTGCGTTGTTGGTCTCAGTGTTGTTTAAAATGCTTTGGGCAGAGAACGTAAAGAAGAATGTCATCCCCTTAGAATGGAGCTCCTATGGTCAGATCCAGGGAGAAACTGGCAACTCTGCAGCAGTATTGCCCCATTACTCCTCATCAGGATCTTTTGATGGACACCTCATATCTTATGCTGCTAGGAATACTTAGCTGGCTGATCATGAGAGGTATAGGCAGAGTGCAGGAACCCCAGTCCCTGATCGTTCCATCAGATGCCCTGCTTCAACACTCAGTGACTTGATCCCCTGAGATGTGCACTTTTGACTGCTATTAGTAAGGTCCTTGAATTCTATGCCCAGTTCTGACTGCAACCTTAGGCAAGTCCCTTAAACCCCTGACTCAGTGTACCCATATGGAAACTGCATATACCTCACCAAGCTCAGAGGGTGCCTAGATAGTATTTGTAAAGCATAGTAGTGAAGGGTGTGCTAAAGGTGTTGCTTTTGATATGCCCTTCCTCTCATTTATGGTGGGTCAGGAGGTGTCAACAACTCAAGTCTTACTCATGAGTCTCTACTCTGCTTCCCTTTTAATTTTAGATTGTGAAGGAGGCTTACCCAGACCACACTCAATTTGACAAGAAGGACCCTCACTACGATTCCTCCAGTACCAAGGAGAACCCTAAGTGGTCCATGGTAATGTATTAAGTTACACACACAGCCAGTTCTGAACACTACTGATGTGGGCAGAGGAAGGGAGAGAATCGGATGGCCTCCCTGGTCTATCAAAGCCCCTGTTTGAACCTACACCACCTCTGTCATGAGAGGGAATTCATTCCAGTTGTTTCCCTGCTCCTTTGCTCTACCTTGGGCCCCCCATCCGGGAGGATGCGGAGATCCATATACCCTAAAATTCTTACCATCTCACTTGGAAACCCTGCTGCCAGAAAACAGAACCTCTAGCCTCTCTGTAGTGCAGAGCTCAGTGGCTGGGGATGGAAGATTACTCTGCACACCTTTAAGTCCCAAGCTGAGTCTACACTAGGCAGTGTTTATTCTTAAAGCACAAGAACACAACTGTAGGGCAGTATTAGACATCAGCCCTACGTCCCTAATAAACGTCTTGTCCCCCAACAAGATATGGACTCCTTCCTCTGATGCAGTGGCTCTCAACCTTTCCAGAATACTGTACCCCTTTTGGGAGTCTAATTTGTCTTTCCTACCCTCAAGTTTCACCTAACTTAACTACTTGCTTACAAAAATCAGACCTAAAAAGCGTCACAGCACATCGACTGAAATTGCTGACTCATTTTCACCATAGTAAAAAATAAATCAACTGGAATATAAATATTGTACTTACAGTTCAGTGTATAGCATAGAGAGCAGTATAAGCAAGTCAGTGTATGACATTTTAGTTTGTACTGACTTCACTAGTGCATTTTATGTTGCCTGTTGTAAAACTAGGCAAATATCTAGATGAGTTGCTGTACCCCCTGGAAGACCTCTGCCTACCCCTGGTGGAGAACCACTGCTCTAACATCAATAGTTCTTGTCCATTTCTAGCAACTGCGTTCCCTCATTGCCCATGTCTCCCCACTCACCAGGTGGACGTCCAATTTGTGCGGATGACTAAGCGCTTCATCCCCCTGTCCGAGCTGAAGGCTCACTACCAGGTGCACAGAGCTTCGGGAGGCCTGCTGAAGGACATGACACTGTTCACCAGGCAGAGGCTCTCTGTCCAACCCCTGACAGACGGTAAGAACCTTTCCCCTACTAGGGGTGTCTTGACAAGATTCCTGCTAAGGAGAAACCCTTGCTTAGGACACTAGTGTGTTCCTCTTCTTACTCCCTTTTCCTGCCCTTCACCCAGAGGAATTTGAATTCGTCTTGAGCCTTGAAGAGAAACCAAGTTAGACAGACTGCAGCAACGGGGCCCATCGAGGCTGAAAGTGCCCCCCGGTCCAGCCAGAACCCTCCCTTCCAAATTTATACTCTTCAACCCAACCCCAGGGAAGACTCTGCGAGCGGACCAAAAGGAGGTGTATATATTCACTGTTATTTTGGTGCACCGTGCTTATGTTTAAATAAAGCTTTTTTAAAGTCAGTGAGACAGACTTGATTTTTCAGGGATGGAGAAGGGTTTGCAGCTCCCCTTTACCTCAGAGAGGACCAAAAAAAAGAGCTTGCCTTCCTGATTCCCTTTACGACAAGCGGTGCCGAGACGCATAAGGCTCCTTCCACTCCTCGGTGCAAACCCTGCCGTGGGGCAGAAAGACAGATCTCTCAAGAGCAAGGATACCACATTCAAAGCAGGCTGCAGGGAGAGCGCAAGACCTGATGTCAGGTTTTTAATACTGTCGCCTGTGGGACCGAATGATGTGGGCTGTGGTTGAATCCTTGTGCTGGGCTAGTGTTCACAGCCAAGTTCGCTTCCTGAGCTTGCTCTAGGTCCTGGTAAAAGGAGAAAAAAACCCACCCACTGGAATGGAGTAGCCATAGAAGTCACCCACCAGCACAACTCCGGGTGCACGTTACATGGCTTAAAGGGGGGCTAGTTAGCTTTCCCCAGTCAGAAGCACGGCTGCGCCACGCCCTTGGAGGCAGCACAGTGAGGAAAAAGGCTGCATTCTCCCTTCCTCAGGTGCCTGCTGAGCGCCCAGCCGGGCAGAACAGTTTGGACCTGCAACGTAAAACAAGCCAGACAAACGAACGCATGGCATCTGAAAGCCTAGAATGGCCCCTTTTAATCCAAGAGGCAAACAAACAGATTTTAAAATACAGCCACTGAAAAGACGAATTAAGAAACATGTAAACACTGCAGGGGCTAAATTACAAGTCGCACTGCTTGGTTCAGTGCCGATGCACCCCTCCACCCGGTGAGAAGCTGCTTGGAGGGGAGGGGACACCCACAGCACAAGATAAAACAACCCAGCAGGGGGTGCACTGCAAAAGCCACAATAGCTCCCCGCTCCTCTTAGTAAACAGTTGGCTTTTTCTTTTCTGTCAGGGCTTGGCATTGAAGGTTCATGTCTCTCCTCTCAAGAGCCAATCAGTATAGATGGGGCAGGTATCATCACCCCCAAACACAGGGCATAATAGAAAGCAGGCTGAATCATCTACTCAGAGAAGGTAAAAAGGTGGGGAGGGGTGACTCTCAAGCCTAGTCCTATGATGGGGGACACAGAGGTGCAGAAAAGTTAACAAAAGGAAACATTTTGGCTCATGCACCATTTCTGACTAATCCCTCTCAGAGTGACAAGCAAATGCTGTCTGAGAATCTTGGGGAGAGGGGGATTTCCATCTTTAGGCAATCTCCCCAGGTCCATCACTGATCCTGTTTCACCACTCACCCAATGCAGAGATGTGTTCACCCCCTGGGCTTCTTAACACCAACATACTACAACCAAGAGAAGTATTCAAGCACAAAGGGATTTCAGGATGGCTGTTTTGAGATGAGGCAAAGGAGAGAGTGGGTCAGGGTGCAGCTGGGCTAGGCTCAGCCCCGCAGATACCATCTGTTACCTGGACTGTCTCCTAAAGGGAGCCTCACCTGTTTTCAAATGATTGTGCATTGCCATGGCACACCTGAATCCCTCTCAATGGGGCAGAAGCAGAGCAGAAGTAGCGTCCACGTTCATTGGCTACATGAGGCCCAAAGCACACCACTACCCCTACACATGATGTAACAAAGCAGCTGCCTTTAATATGAGTGTGCTTTGGTCTGAGGGAGGAAACTGCTGTTCCAGTCCACAGCAGGGATCTCTCACATACGGAGGCAGGGTAAGCCACACATCCTCACTACTACCGTGCAGAACATGGTGTGACACTAGTGTTCACAGCAGAGAAGAGGCAATTAACATCCCCTGGGATGAAGCAGGACTCTCCATCTAGGTTAAGAACCATAGCCTACATGTGACTGAGTGAAAATAAAACTTCGTTTGGCAAGCAGAAAACACATTTATCACTGAACTACAGCAGCTTTCTTACGACGCAAACACCACCCTCCTCCCACCCAGACCCCACCGTCACTACAGGCACCAGGGCACTGTCTCTCACAGAGACAAACGTTGCAGAAGATGCTTTAACTTCCCAGCAGCCAGAGAACAGCCCTACATCCAACCAGAGGAAATTCCAGAATCAGAAGCAAGCCTGGCGGAACATCAGGAAACCCATCAGTACCACTCCCGTTAGAGGGAGTGATGTCTTGGTTTAGTTCAGGTTTCTGTCTCCATATGCTGGTTGGAGGTTTTATTACCTGCTTCCTAGAAAGGGATCTAAAAAGGATGAAGAACATCCAAATCCCATCAATCAGTTAAGTCTAAAAGACCATCTCTGAACTTTAAAGGAAGACTGAATCCCTTCCGGGTACATTCTCATGATCCCACTTAACTCAAAAGATTAAATGGAGTTTATTTTGAGTGAAAGACATCCCACGCTCAGGTCCTGATAGCTTCATGCCCAAAGACACCACCACTACTGTTCTCATCAGGCCCAACTGACCAAGAGCTGACTGTATGGAAGCAGAAAGTTTTGCCAGCCACCCTGCCATTTTGCTTCACTTCACTTAGCAGCACATACAGGCCAGTAGCTCCTTAAACAAAGGTGTCCCATTTGCCAGGACTATTAATAGCTTATCCCAGGTGCCCAGGGGGTAACCTTCAAGCCTTTTACATACAGGTTCATTTAAAGAACACCCCCATGTCCCCTCCTGTCCCACCCTGCTGCTCTTTCAGATAATTTTCAGCCAATCAGGGAAGTCCCCATGAAGTTTAACCACAGCACCACTGGGGTGAATCCTAGGGCCAGATGAAGCAGAGTTTCATTCAGATAAATTGGAAACAAGGAGAAAGCCAGAAGGGAAACAGTCCATCACTTACAGCAGCACTTCAGAGGCTGCACAGGCCACCGCAAGGCTTTTCCTTGTACAACTCCTAGAAAGACCTGACTGCAACTGCTTCCCACCACAGCATGTGGAGTCTGTACAACTGCTGTGCTATTACACTCTCTTTTATCTCCAGCATACACAAGCTTCCCAGGGCCCAGCGTGGCTATGTCATACAGCATGGATTACAAACTACAGCCTGACCTCCCGGAGGCGAGACTATCAAGGCTCTGTGTGCTCTCTTTCACTGGACGGTTTCCTCCCAGACTCTCTGCCTAGCAGCTCCGCTAGCTCACCCATACCTCATCTGCCCTATACAGTATCCATATGCCTGTCAATTCCACAGACAGCTGCATCCATGAGCTCCCAAGGCAAGGACACGAAGGCAGCATCATCTGCTACGCTGCACAACCTGGCTCTGCTATTCACAGGGCTGATTCAACTAGTTATATAACGATTTGCAGCAGAGACTCCAGGAACAGCATGGGGGGGGGGGAAGGAGAACCCATCAGGCAGGCTACACTTCAAGCCTAAACTCCGCACATGCACACTCCCGCCTTCCAGCTGAAATGCTTCATCGGGCTCCCTCCTCCCACTCACCTCACAAGGGCTTCTTGATGGCAGCAAAATGCCTTCCTACATGCCCAAAGGGACATACCTACCGCCGAGGAGGAGCATCAAAATTTCCCCTCCCGCCTCCCCACTGCCATGCTGAAGGGGTCTCATGGCAACGGGAAAGCCAGGCAGCCTAATGGCCCCTGCATGTGTAAAAGCAGCCGACCCCAGAGGAACGTAGGAGGTTGGGGAGCACTGAGGTACGTTCAACTTTGTGCCGTGGTTGCTGTAGCTTACATTGCCCCCACCCCACCCGACTGGTCCTTCGAAGATCAGAATTAAGTCAAAAAACTGATACTGATTTTCATAAGTCTCTGGTGAAATGTTTTCTTTTCCCCTCGTTGCTGCTGCCGGCCCTGGAAAACGTGGGTTCTGCAGCAGCCTCGCTCCACAGGGCCCTTCACTGCCGGCTGTTGTTTTCTGCAGGCTGGGTGGGGGTCGTGGCCTCAGCATGGGAGGATGTCCCCTCAAACCGCTGAGAGGCAATGGCTGCCTGGTGGGACATGCTCTTCCTCACAATGTCTCCTTTCCGCCATAGCACCACTTCCTGTCAGAACGCAGACAGCAGGACCTGTTAGGACATGCAGCAGCTACGCTGGCCCCACCCAGGATGTACTCATAGGTCTGAACGTCTGCCTAAGCTGCCGGAGCAGTAACTTGCATCCATCCCCATATGCTGGCCTATTCCACTCTCCATCCTTCAGCTGGGAAAGGCCATTCCAGCTTCAAGAGAGGGGCCCAGGCAGTGCAGACCTCTCGAAGGCTGGATGGTAGCACTCCTCAGAGGATGGGCCAGAGGCAGCCACAAGCTGCCAGGTCTGTCCCAATATGTGGGGCGACATTTGCCATGGTTAATGCAGCGCAGAGAATTGATAGGGGGATTACGGTAGATAAGCCCTCTCCGAGGAGCATCCCTAACAGACCCAGATAGACAGGTGCATCCTCTATCCACCCCCCAAATGATTTGGCTCCAGTGGGTACCCAGGGAGGAACATCTTCCCCCACATCACCAGCCAGGCTGCCCCACATTCTTCTCTTGTGAGTTATAATGGAGTGCCTGAAGCAGCACTCCACCGCACGGCCAAGTCCCACCCTTTCTCACCTGCTGTTTGAAATAGCGCCTTTCTTCTTCATCGATCAGCACCAGGTTGAGGTAATAACGCACCGAGAACTTCTTATTGATGTCCCTCATAGTGGGCGTCAGCTCATAGCCCGCCAGGAAGAGTCGGATTGGAATGGACTCCCCTGCAAAAGGCATGAGCGTAGGCACAACATACTGATTCAAATCTTACAAGGACAGCACCGGCTAAATAAGGTAAAACCAGAGCAAGCTAACGCCTGCAACTCTGCGCCTGAGTCTGGCGTACCTTACCACTGCTGGATGGGGTTTGGGCCGAATGCCCTCAGCTCCTACAGAATAGCAGTGAGCATGCTTACTCCTTAGCAGGGTCGTGCCCTTTGTGGCAAGCGTCCTTCCTCCACTTCAATACCACAGGGTTCCCTTCATTGCCCACAGCATTGGAGGAGAAAGAGAATGGAACGACATTCCTTCTAGCGACTGACATGGGAGCTCTAGAACAGAACTGCAGGTCCCCACTGCTGAACACTATCATCCAGAGAGACCAGATATCTCGGGGGATTGGCAATGAGATAAGATACCACCTTTCAGTGCTATGTTCTGAGACCAGGCCCAGGTCAGCAGTGGAAGTCTATTCCTAACTGTACCACTGACTTGCTAGGAGACTTAAAGACACCAGCAACGTGCCTCAATTTCCCCCACGTTTGTAAGCTGACATGAGATTCACCAGTGAAGAGGGATGCACGAGCCAGCTATTACCACACAAGAAAACAGGCACTCAGTTGAAGATAGACGACAACTTTATGGGACTCACAGTAGGTCCCACACTCCAGCAAAAATTAATGGTGCAGAACAAGCTCTGGACCTCCAAAGATTATAGGAGAGGAATGTAAATGGTTCCCCACCCCTTCTCACCTCTAACAGGTGCCCCATCCATGATCTCATATTTAGCTATTGTGTCATTCTCGTGGTAAACATTGGGGCCGGTCCCTGTTGTCTCTCTCTTGATGATATCTATCTCCATGTGTTTGATCTTGATCCGCACCAACAGGAAGTAGATTTTTCCAACAATCACATCTTTTAAGTGGTACCTTGAGAGGATAGGTAAGACAGCCAAGATCAGTTTTGGTCTCTACACAACAGAGCAGGAAACAAGTTGACAAGCTGGAATGTGCCTGTCAGACACTTCCCCATTCTCCTCAGGGCACACTTCAGAGTCCATGGGCACCCCAGCCATGCGTTCTGGGCTGCTCCAAGCAGTAACTTTGCATTCATGCTCAATTCTCTGGGCATCAGCAAGTCTGAGTGGGATTATTGGATGAAATGACATCTTAGGCTAGACATTCATAAGAACTTCCCAGCAACAAGATCCAAGTCTCCCAGCGGCAACTGCTTAGGTAATTTAAAACAACACCCTGCTGGAGGATACTCCAAGACTGGGTGGGAAGGATGGACTAGATCAGGGGTGGCCCACCTGTGGCTCTGGAGCTGCATGAGGCTTCTTGCAGAGATGCTGACTCTGGGGCTGGAGTTACAGATGCCGACTTTCCAATGTTCAACCTCAGGCCCCGCCCTCACTCCACCCCTTACCCCAAGGCTCCGGCTCTTTCCCGCCCCCCCCACCCTCCCAAGCCTGCTGCACCCTTGCTCCTCCCCCCCTCCCTCCCAGAGCCTCCTGTACACTGCGAAACAGCTGATTGCGGTGTGCAGGAGGCACGGAGAGGGAGGGGGAGGTGCTGATCGGCAGGGCTGCCGGCGGACAGGAAGTACTGGGGGAGCTGCTGATGGATTACTGTGGCTCTTTGGCAATGTATATTGGTAAATTCTGGCTCCTTCTCAGGCTCAGATTGGCCACCCCTGGACTAGATGTAGCCTAAACTGGTAATTTCCAACTTCTGTGCCTGAGTTAACAGCCACATAGTCCCACATTTAATCACACCATTCTGGCAAACAGCAGAAGCTGTGCCATTGGGCCACCTGGGACTCAGAACAATGGGAGTTCTCAATCTGAGTAAAATAAACCCACTTTCATCCTAATTCTATGCACCTCCCTCAGTATGTGGGTGCAGATGCCTCCGTCTGGATAAAGCACATTCCAGGGTGGTGGTGAGGGGGGAAAGATCTAAAGCAGGAACAGTCCCAGCACGTCAATCAACAGCCTGCCATCCACAGTAGGGAACAGGGAGAGCTAAGATAAATTACAGGGCCCCACCTAAAGTTTACAACAGGAGCTGCCTCTGCATATCTAGTCAAGTTAAGGGTCCCAGAGCTGCAGCCTGAGCCCGGAAGTCTGCACTGCAATGAGACAGCTCCACGACCTTGAGTCAGCTGGCATGAGCCAGCTGTGGGGTATTTTGTTTGGTTTTTTTTGGTGCAGTGGAGACATGCCCTAAGAGTCCCACCCAGCCTACCCAGCAGGCTGCATCCTCTCATGCAGGGAGTTCTACTCAGCAGCCGTTCTCAGGATACTTACTTGGATTTGTTATACTCAAACTCGATGTGCAGGCAATCCTCGATTCCCACCTCCATCTTGATAGAGGAATTGAGCTCCGGGTAGGTGCTGAGTGTGTGCACGACAATGTCCATCTCCTTCACCACATCATTTAATCTGCGGCTGACGGTCGCTCGGAGGAAATACCTGCAAGGGGAACACCTCATCCATTAGAACCCTTGCAGACTACCTCAAAGGGTGCAAAAGCCATGGAGGGAGGTGTTAGAGTGGAGGAGAGAGGAACATGGGCTTTGATGGAGCCACTCAGACCACCTGGTCCATCTAGTCCAGTAATCTGCCTCCTGTAGTGGACAATACCTGATGGTTTAGAAGAAGGGTGAAAGTCCTTTGTAGTGCACCTGAGCAATTGTACGCTGCTGTACACAGGGGAGACGTTCCAGCCTGAACCCTATGGCTTATTGCCCTAAAGCATGAGACGTGAGTACACTAATCACCACCTAGGTAACTAAATATTGATCTTAAAATTATCCAGCCCTCTTAAATGCAGCCCCAGCATTTGACTCGTTGACTAGATTTCAAGGTGACAGCATATCTTGACAGCCCAAATCTGAAATAGGATTTACAATTTGTGAAACACAGCAAGTCAGCAAGGCATTTCTTTGCATCTAAGCCACGATTAAAATAAGCAGGCCCGATTACAGGACTATTGAAACACATTTAACTGACTCTGCTGGAGACTGAAGCAAATGACCAGACATTACTGTTTTATTGCCAAATAAATTGGAAGCATCTGGGAATCAGAAGAGACTTTGCTTTCCCTTATTTTTTAAACAAGAAGAAAAAAGGAAAAAAAGAAGGAGCAATTCAAGCATGATCCACATGCACAAGAGAAGCCACGACAGGCTGCATTTTACTACTGAGCTCGCTGCACAGCTGCTGGAACTGCACTCAGCGCTTGACGTGCTGTCCCAAGACAGCGCTGCTTTCCATCGTCACAGGCGCTGAGAACCGAACATTCCATTTCAGCCAGGGATCAGAGGCGCAGAGCCTTTGGCCGGCGGGCGCAACTGCAGTTGCAACACAGACGAGAGCTACCAAAGAAGTAGCTGCAGACTGGAGGAACAGAGGGGAAGCCAGGGAGAGAAGCGTGGATTTCTGAAGAGGGGGGAGAAAGAGGAACGACAAAAAGGGTCGAGACCTCCCTTTTCAAACGTGTGGCGTTCACAGGAGTTGGTAGATTTTCCACAGATTTTCTAGGCATCCCACACACAGTATCTGAACTGTCAATCCACCCCCATGGCCTAATGTTTAAACATGAAATGGGACTATACTGTGACCCGCACACAAACAGCAGCTTGAGGGGCTCAAGACACATGCACACACATGAAGGGCCACAATTCAGTTTAAAAGGGAGAGTCCAGTGACACAGGCATAAGATAACTCTCTATTTACTAGCAAGATACAGATTAGAAATTAATTTCTTCAACAACCTTTAGAAATTATCATCACTGCTCTGTTCCCTCTGCAAGGTTAACTGGGAGTGTGGTGCCCCTCTCAGCTGGGAATAGCATTTTATCAGTACTTCCTCCCTGCTGGGGGGAAACAGCTCAGGCTGGATTGCCTGGGGAATCAGATTTCAGAAGTTACTGTCAGCTTGTTTTGAAATGATAGAAAATGGTTAGTTTAACAGCAGTTCAATCACTTTTCAATGACATGCCCCTTTTAAACAATTAACACGCCTCAGCTCTGATTTCCCACGGATTTCAAAGGCAAGACCCATATCCCATGGCCCTAGTCTATGGGCTTATCTACACTGGCCCTTTACAACGCTGCAACTTGCTCGCTCAGGGGTGTGAAAAAAAAAAAAAACCCTGAGCGCAGCAAGTTTCGGCGCTGTAAAGCACCAGTGTAGACAGCACACCAGCGCTGGGAGCTACGCCCCTCATGGAGGTGGGTTTTTTTTTTTTTTTTTTTTTTAAGAGCACTGGGAGATCTCTGCCGAGACTACACACGCCACGTTAAAGCTTTAATGCTGCCAGTGTAGACTAGCCCTATGTTATCATACTGTCAAAGTTGACAGTTCCCTACTGGATTTTCAGTTGTTCCTTATTATATTTAAGATAGATTGTAGTTCTATCTATTCTTCCCAATTCGACTCTTAGACACAGGCATTAGACCCTTGTGTTGCTGTACTATCTGTTGGTGTGTGTTCATTTGGGGTACCTGGTACTGTCTCTCTTACTAGAAAGACACTGCATGAAAATTAATGCACAGGGAGAAGGCTGAATCTTGGGACCGGGAGAAACCCGACAGCGGGAGGAGACTCACCGTAACTTCACATTCTGCCCCGTGTAGGACTCGTACGGTTTTTCCACATGCGTGAATTCAAAGTCGAATGTCTGTGACTGGGTGAACTCACCAGGACGGGCCAGGTCCTTCACTAGAGAGACAAATTCATGGTGGTTTCCCCGGTCATAGTAGAGCTCTAGGAAGAGAATACTCGGTTAAGCAGTGCTGCTCGCTCTTCTGTGAGTAGGTCAGCTTTGGGAGAAGAACTGCAAGAAATGGGCATGGCAGAAAGGAACCAGTCCCCTACAAAGCCTCTTCCCTATTCTATCCCTTCTCCTCCACTTCCCAGAGAGAGAAGGCCTCCCTGGAAATCCTGAGGTTCAAACACAAAGGGCCATGCTTCATCCAGCCCCAACTGGGCCAGATACACAATGAGAGGAGTGAGCCAGGGTCTAAAGAGTAGAGCTGCACAGTTAGGTCCTTGACCCATAACGGGCCCAAGCTCATTTTGAAGTGCCAGTAAAAACGAGAACCCGATTTTGCAGATTGGTTTGTTCACCCTAGAAATCAGCAGTGCTGTTCCCCTCACTGGACAGCCCATGTTCGCACAGTGGCTTACATTCTCCTCTGTCAAGCGCATGAACAGAGTCCAATACAACAAAAGGAGTGCTCTCTTAATGGTTCGATTTAGCAAACCTAGACTCCTGGGTTCCATTCTTGGTTCTGCCACTAATTTATTGTGACACCCTCAATACTTCCCTCTTCCGTATGCTGCTTCCCCCCCACCCCCATCAGTAAAATGGGGTCAGCTGTGCATCCCCTGGAGGGTTGCTTTGCTACATTAGTATCTGTAAATTGCTTGAGGATCCTCCTAAATTACTTGAGTCATCCTCCATTGTACAAGTAGAGAAGAAATAAGATATCCCATGAGCTCATACAAAATATCCAACCCACGGGTAAGGGAACAGGATAGACTGGTGTCAAAAATAGCTGAGTAGGTCAGTAAATATTCCACTCCCATGAAAGCAGGTAAAGAGAGAGGAGACAAAGAAAGCAGGAGCGGAGATTCTCATGATGTCTCTTCAGCTTTACTCACTTACTCCTACCTATAAAAACAAACCAGAACATCTACGTGGGTCAGTGTAATCAAGGTTAATATATCCAGATTACCTGCAAAGACAAGGAACCATCACAGAGCAAATCAGCAGCTAGTGCCATCCCTTCTTTCATCACTTCCTGCAGATCCGCACCTTCAAGGTCGAGGCACTGGACTTGTAACCAGTAAAAAAACAAAGCCCCAAAACTTCCCCAAAATGGGGAAGCAGAGACAAAGCAGAAGTGTGGGGCTAGGAGGCTTCAATCTATCATTGCTCATGTCTCTCAAAGAAAGTTTAAGCAGCAGTGAGCGCAGAGGTAGCCCCGTTAGCTCCAGGGAACAAAAAAAGGTTAAGAAGTCCATTGAGTTCCAAGGGGTAAAGCTGAGCTGGTGGTTCTATGATGGCTACATGGCTGGCCAGGGAAATGTTAGGGAACAAGGGTCTGTGTGGAAGAGTTGCTCAAACCAGCTGCAGATGAAAAGGCAGACATTTTCCTGTGCCCTCCCAATTGTTCCAGCAGTTCTCCAAGCATAGCTGTGACCAAGTGACCATCTTTAATATAAAGTGGCCCACAGGAACTACAGCCCCTCAAACATAATTTTCCATCTTGATCCAAGATAACAGAAAGTGACACACCAGGGGACCTGTATTCAGTTCGCTATTATACATAAGGGTAAAGGCACTCTACTCCAGTTTCCTGTATGGTGTGCTCCCAGAAAGTTGCCAATACAGCCCTTTGGTTAGGAAAAATTTGGGCAACCCTAATTCTTACAATCTGGAGCTGAGGTCACAGCTAAGACAAGGTCAAACATTATCACATGTCCACTGAACCCTGCTGCAAAGGCTTTCTGAAGGACGGTCTTGTCGTTAGAACACTAGCCTGGGACTCAGGAGATCTAGGTTCAGCTCCCATCTCTGTCACAGATTCAACGCGTGACCCTGGACAAGTCACTTACTTGTGCCTAATCTCCCCAGCTGTAAAATATGCAATAACGCTTTGTCTTGTCCACCCTTTTGTCCACCTTACCTCTTTAGACTGGAAGCTCTTTAGGGCTAGAATGATCTTTACTGTGTTTGTATAACACCTAGCATAACAAAGCCCTGATCTTGGTTGGATCCTCTGCGCACTAATGTAATACAATCATATAATAAAGCATCCCTCCATTCAATACACCTCCACAAAGAGAGAGAGGGGATGCTCCTTTATGTGATGGGGAAGGAATGCAGGAGTGACATACAAAGAGACACGGACTCATCTCACAGCACAAGGCCAAAAGCAATGACTGAGTTTAAACTGGGAAAAAACAGACTGCCAGCGTACTAGGCTCCCAGCAACTACTGCCCAGGGGCTGAGATTAGCACTTTGACCTTCAGAGGAGGAATTGAGGATTCTTCATATTTAAAAAGACATCAGCATGTCGAACGTTAGAAAAAAGCCCCAGTTTGAGTTCAACAAAGCCATAGTTTTCCATTCTGACTTTTTTTTTAAATCTACCATTTTTAGGATGATCTCAGAGAACAGTCACTGCAGACAGACTGATGTCCTTAAAGGAATCTGCACTATCCATCCATCCAGAGGGGAAACTGTCCTGGACGTTAACCAGAGAATCAGACACAGGACTCCTGGATTCTATTCCCAGCTCCATCACAGACCCTATGATCTTAAACAAATCACACCACTTCTCGGTGCTTCAGTATCCCCATCTGTAAAATAGGGGTAATGCCTATCTCCTCACCTCTGAGAGTCTAAATCCCTAATATGAGGCATTTGGAGATGGAAGGTGCTATAAAAGCACAATCAGTTATACCATCTTTCAGACTACTGGGGCTGTTTTTTGTTTTGTTTAAGGTAGTATAACCAAGTACAAGTCTGACCTCAAGTCTGGTTATGAAAACTCTCTTTGTAGCTGTAATAGACACGTACTACTTATGTAGTACTTCATGAAGTCAAAGCACTGAGCAAATCAATCAGTCTTCAAAACTCCTCGGTAAATATTATTTTTGGAATATCATAACATCTAGAAGCCCTAGTTATGGACCGAGATTCTAGTGCGCTAGATGCTATACAAACACAGAGCAAAAAAACAGTCCGCCTTCCCCCAAGAGCTTACAACCTAAGCACCCATTTTACAAATAGGGAAAGGAGACTGGTGGAGTGCCTGTCCAAGGATGCACAGCGAGTCAGTGGCGGAGCAGAGAGTAAAGCTCATGCTGAGTTTACTCTGGAGATTTTAAACCCAGAGGCAGGTTATAATCCAGTTTTCTGATAATGGGGCCTGTTTATATATAATTAGCTATGTGCTTTCTCTGACCCCAGAAGTGTAACATGTGGCGCAAGTGGAGAAAATCAGAAGAGAAATGAAGTGAAGGTGGTGGGGCTGGGTGAGGAAAAACATCAATTTAATCTTCTGTGCCAAGGGATTTGCAAGGAAATGTTATCCATCTCAAGTTGAAAATGTTGATCATATTGATGTGCAGATGAACAGCTTCTACCGAGATTTTTAGAGCAGACAGGGCCCTGGATTTAAGGTCTTGTCTGAAAAGTCCCACACATGCATGGTACAGAGTTAATAAACGAATAAAAACTGTGCAAGTTACTCTAGGGTTTATCACTTCTTTTCACTCAAACTCAGATGAGTCCACAAAACGTTTAGTTCTTTATACCAATGGCATAGTGGGTAAGGCAAGCACCTTCCCTCCTATTATGGGGGGAGGGAATCACTTATCTAAATTTGGTTTGCACAGTATAAAATTGCCAAATTCAAACCGCAATCACAGGAATAACAGCTCAGATATCAGATGACTTCAAGTGGATAAGGGGGTTAGGCCACCCCAACAGGGTGAGCAGAATCAATGGAGCTGGGGACAGCAAGCTTTGAAAGGAAAGGAAGCTGACCCACAAGGGTAGTTCACTTCTGGGGCATAGCTCATTAACTGAAATGTGCACATACACCAGCTGGTCTGTTGCCTCATGCCCTCAATATAACCATTACCTCCCACAGCAGCCCTTCCCATCACACACAATGTACTCAATAGCACAGTAAATGCAGCTAGAGACGTAGCAACATGTTAATAAAAAGGATGGAGCATGATAAAGAACCCATCTTATACACTATAAGGGATGCTGCTGGCAAGATATTAAAACTTAACAACAACCCTGAAGGTTTGAATCTGAATTAAAAAACTCTCTCTATATATTTCAGAGCTCAGGTCACTGAATGAGCAGAAACAGGAAAACAGGATGAGAGAGAACAATGACCTGAAAAAGGAGTGGAACTACCTCCCTTCTGCACAGATTCTAGGGTACAGAACACATGGCTTGTCCAAACCTAAGAGGGGATTTAAAATAATTTCTGATAATCAAGGGACTTTTCAGCGTAATTACAAGACGCTGGGGATCATAACCCAATTTCCAAGGACAGGATGCACTGTAACTACCCATTTCCTAGGCTAATGGGAGACAGAACCTTGCCAGTGTTAACATTTAAGTATATTCCACCTGGAGGATTCAGAGTAACAGACTAATAAATTGGTTAGTCTCTAAGGTGCCACCAGTACTCCTTTTCTTTTTGCAACCTGGAGGAATTAGCCATGCAAAACAAATAAATAAAACTCCATTCAGTGCACTGCTATGTATTGCTGCCCTCACTGAAGGGGTTTCATTTTTAATTTCAGAAGGGAAAGAGCAATCAGACTCCAATCAGAGGAATCACTACAGGATGGCAGGCGGATGAATGTGTTGCAAGCAAGCTTTAGGAAGCTGTGAGCCCAACCCACTCCGCCATGCTGGTACAAAGTACCACTCCCCTCACCCCTCCCAATTCAAGTCCTTGGCAATACACCATGCAATACTCTCACCCCCACATTCCCCGCTCACCAATTTGTCCAATGAACTCCACCTTGATGCCTTGGTGCTCCAGCCGCTTGTTTGGGTGCTTGAGGGTGAGGGTGACCCGACCTGATACTGTCTCCCCATCGTAGAAAAGGAAATATTTCTCCTTCTTGCCCTCTTCAGTCTTGTGCTCAGCCCTACGCCTACTCTCCGCATCGCTCAGCACCAGCTCCAACTCTGCACTCTGCCCAAACCCAAAGAAGCTCATCTCGCTGCTGGGGAGGAAGGCACAATCCCAGAGGGGGCTAATGGGGTTGCTGTGGGGAATGGCGTGTACTACTCCAGGGAGCACTGGAAGAGTGGCAACGTTTGAGAATTTTGTTTTCTTCAAGGGGCTCAAATACGATGGCAATGGATGCAGTACAGAAACCCAGATAAGGAAAGTGGATATAATCCAATTTTAGGGATGAAGACTGTAATGCTAAAGGATCTTGGTGAGGTTCAATCCTAGCAAGCTGAGTGACTTCAGGATGGAAGAGAGTTCAATACAGCTCAAAAGCACTAGAAGGATCTATATTTCTGGAGGACGGGGATAGAGTAACCTCAGAGTGCTAGAGGGCTCCTGTTGCTTAGGAAGGGGAGTTAGAGAAGGGTGGTCCAATGCAACCAAGAGAGGGCCTAGAAAGCTGCTTAAAAGGGCGATGTAACAGCCTAAGGAACTGCTGCTGTTTTGGAAAGGGCTGCAGCATAAAGGTCGCCCATGGAGTCTGCAGCCGCTGCTCGGAGATGAATTACAAGGAAGGGCCCTTGGCAGCTGGAGACCGAGGGATTCAGTGCACCCCGTGGGGGGTCTTCTGCCTCTTACCTTCACTACTCAGGAAGGGGTGTGGGGTGCTGGGGAACGAAAAGGGAGCACTTACCGCTTGGGGTGTGTGTGTGGGGGGGGGTGCAATGCAGCAGGGGGCACCACTGATAGGGGAAGGAGGTGCAACTGGGAGGGTCCCCCCCAGCGAGAAGGTATCGAGAGTACTCCGGCTGTGGGGCAAGAGGGTGCAAATGGGGAGGGGCCCCGGCTGTGGGGGCAAGGGGGTGCAAATGGGGAGGGGCCCCGGCTGTGGGGGCAAGGGGGTGCAAATGGGGAGGGGCCCCGGCTGTGGGGGCAAGGGGGTGCTCTGGGAGGCCCTGCTGGCAAGCGCTCAGTCCCCGTGGTCTCCGCAGGGCGAACGGAGCGCAGCGGTCACCCCGCGGCGCAGGAGCCGGGCTCGGAGCTCGCACGATGCGGACCCCGCTCCGGGCTGGGTGCGAGGGGCTCCGCAGCCCAGATGCGCTCGCGCTCTGCCCCGGCTGGCTGGCACTAGCTGCGCTCGAGCTGTCCTCCAGGGCCGGGCCTCGCACTGCGCAAGCGCCGCCCGGCCCGGCCTCGCTTCCTCCCATTGCGCAGGCGCCATCTCCCCGTTCCGGGGCTCACTCCGCGCGCCGCCGCATTGGCTCCGCTGTGGGCGCCCCGCGCAGGCGCGGCCGGCCAGCCAGTCCTTGGCCCCCGCCGACAGCGGACGGTGATTGGTCGCTGCCAGGCCGGAGCGCGGATTGGCGGGTTCGAAGGCACCGGCGGCGCCGAAGCGAGGAAGGCAGGATGGTGGCGGCCGAGGGGCCGCTGCGGGGCTTGGCGAGCTGGGGGCTGCGGGCGGTCAGTGCGGGTAAGCGGCGGGAGGCCTGAGCCCGGCCACGGGGCTGCCGGGGAGACCTTCAGGGGAGGGGGACTGAAGGAAGAGGGGATCCTACGGGGAGAGGCGGGGGGGGGGGGGGGGAGAACTGGACGAGGCGGGGGGCTGGGAGGAGAACTGGACGAGGTGGGGGGCTGGGAGAGGCGGGGGGAGGAGAAATGGACGAGGCGGGGGGCTGGGAGAGGCGGGGGGGAGGAGAAATGGATGAGGCGGGGGGGGAGGAGAACTGGACGAGGCGGGGGGGCTGGGAGAGGCGGGGGGGAGGAGAACTGGACGAGGCGGGGGGCTGGGAGAGGCGGGGGGGGAGGAGAACTGGACGAGGCGGGGGGGCTGGGAGAGGCGGGGGGGAGGAGAACTGGACGAGGCGGGGGGGCTGGGAGAGGCGGGGGGGAGGAGAACTGGACGAGGCGGGGGGGCTGGGAGAGGCGGGGGGAGGAGAACTGGACGAGGCGGGGGGGCTGGGAGAGGCGGGGGGGAGGAGAACTGGACGAGGCGGGGGGGCTGGGAGAGGCGGGGGGGAGGAGAAATGGATGAGGCGGGGTGGGAGGAGAACTGGACGAGGCGGGGGCTGGGAGAGGCGGGGGGAGGAGAAATGGACGAGGCGGGGGGCTGGGAGAGGCGGGGGGGAGGAGAAATGGACGAGGCGGGGGGGGAGGAGAAATGGATGAAGCGGGGGGGAGGAGAACTGGACGAGGCGGAGGGTGGGGCGTTCTGAGGTTCCAGGGGCTGAAGGATGAAGGGGCTTTTGGGGGCTCGGGTAGTCACTGCTTCCTCCGTCCGCAATGCCTGGGGCTTAGGGTGAGGGAGGGTTCCTGAGTTGTCCTCTGTATCTACCTCCTACCCCACAAGAGCTCCACCTCCAAAGAGAGTGGACTGAGGGGCTGGCCTGGGAAGTTGTGTGGTGTTCGGGCGTGGGGAGTGTCTGTGGGATCCTGGAACAGGTTGGTGTGGGAGCCAGGACTCCTGGATTCTACTCCCCAAGCTGCCCTGAACATCGCTGCTCGTCTCCGTGCCCCTCTGTGGAATAGCTCCAGTGCTATTGGCCTGCTTCATGGGGAGCTCAGGGTTTAAAACCAGAGCCGCCCCCACCTGGATTATCTGTCACTGCCTGTTTCCCGAATCTGGGATCTCTCCCTTTGTCAGTTGCACTGAGCATTTTCTCCATTGTCGGAAATCACTGTATTCAGCAGCCCCCTGTTGTCCAGTTTGCCACCGTTCTGCTGTAGTTTGCTAGTTATTAATAATGCCGTGGATATTAAAACTGGGCTGCATCTCTTCTGTGGATAATAAAAAGCTGCTCTGATTCATAGATCAGTTGAGCTGTCTGATTTAACTTTTCTTTGTTTCCGGTTTCATTGTTTTCTATTTCAGAAGCTTGCAGAATGTGTAGTTTTCAAAAACAGTAGGGGGATGTTTATTTCTTTTAGCAGCTGCTTCTATTTATAGGTTTCAGAGTAGCAGCCCTGTTATTCTGTATTTGCAAAAAGAAAAGGAGGACTTGTGGCACCTTAGAGACTAACAGATTTATTGGAGCATAAGCTTTCGTGAGCTTCAGCTCACTTCATCCAATGCATCCAGTGGAAAATAGAGTGGGGAGATTTATATACCTAGAGAACATGAAACAATGGGTGTTACCATACAGACTGTAAGGAGAGGGATCACTTAAGATGAGCTATTACCAGCAGGAGGAGGGGGGGACCTTTTGTAATGATAATCAAGGTGGGCCATTTCCAGCAGTTAACAAGAACGTCTGAGGAACAGTGGGGGAGGGGGAATAAACATGGGGAAATAGTTTTACTTTGTGTAATGACCCATCCACTCCCAGTCTCTCTTCAAGCCAAAGTTAATTGTATCCAGTTTGCAAATTAATTCCAATTCAGCAGTCTCTCCTTGGAGTCTGGTTTTGAAGTTTTTTGTTGAAGAATTGCCACTTTTAGGTCTGTAATTGCGTGACCAAAGAGATTGAAGGGTTCTCCCACTGGTTTTTGAATGTTATAATTCTTGACGTCTGATTTGTGTCCATTTACTCTTTTACGTAGAGACTGTCCAGTTTGACCAATGTACATGGCAGAGGGGCATTGCTGGTACATGATGGCATATATCACATTGGTAGATGTGCATGTGAACGAGCCTCTGATAGTGTGGCTGATATGATTAGGCCCTATGATGGTGTCCCCTGAATAGATATGTGGACACAGTTGGCAACGGGCTTTGTTGCAAGGATAGGTTCCTGGGTTAGTGGTTCTGTTGTGTGGTGTGTGGTTGCTGGTGAGTATTTGCTTCAGGTTGGGGGGTTGTCTGTAAGCAAGGACTGGCCTGTCTCCCAAGATCTGTGAGAGTGATGGGTCGTCCTTCAGGTTGTAGATCCTTGATGATGCGCTGGAGAGGTTTTAGTTGGGGGCTGAAGGTGACGGCTAGTGGCATTCTGATATTTTCTTTGTTAGGCCTGTCCTGTAGTAGGTGACTTCTGGGTAGTCTTCTGGCTCTGTCAATCTGTTTCTTCACTTCAGCAGGTGGGTATTGTAGTTGTAAGAATGCTTGATAGAGATCTTGTAGGTGTTTGTCTCTGTCTGAGGGGTTGGAGCAAATGCGGTTGTATCGCAGAGCTTGGCTGTAGACGATGGATCGTGTGGTGTGGTCTGGATGAAAGCTGGAGGCATGTAGGTAGGAATAGCGGTCAGTAGGTTTCCGGTATAGGGTGGTGTTTATGTGACAATCGCTTATTAGCACCCTAGTGTCCAGGAAGTGGATCTCTTGTGTGGACTGGTCCAGGCTGAGGTTGATGGTGGGATGGAAATTGTTGAAATGATGGTGGAATTCCTCAAGGGCTTCTTTTCCATGGGTCCAGATGATGAAGATGTCATCAGTGTAGCACAAGTACAGTAGGGGCATTGAGGGACGAGAGCTGAGGAAGCGTTGTTCTAAGTCAGCCATAAAAATGTTGGCATACTGTGGGGACATAGAATCATAGAATATCAGGGTTGGAAGGGACCTCAGGAGGTCATCTAGTCCAACCCCCTGCTCAAAGCAGGGCCAATCCTCAATTAAATCATCCCAGCCAGGGCTTTGTCAAGCCTGACCTTAAAAACTTCTAAGGAAGGAGATTCCACCACCTCCCTAGGTAACGCATTCCAGTGCTTCACCACCCTCCTAGTGAAAAAGTTTTTCCTAATATCCAACCTAAACCTCCCCCACTGCAACTTGAGACCATTACTGCTTGTTCTGTCATCAGCTACCATTGAGAACAGTCTGGCTCCATCCTCTTTGGAACCCTCTTTCAAGGTAGTTGAAAGCAGCTATCAAATCCCCCCCTCATTCTTCTCTTCTGCAGACTGAACAATCCCAGTTCCCTCAGCCTCTCCTCATAAGTCATGTGTTCCAGACCCCGAATCATTTTTGTTGCCCTTCGCTGGACTCTCTCCAATTTATCCACATCCTTCTTGTAGTGTGGGGCCCAAAACTGGACACAGTACTCCAGATGAGGCCTCACCAATGTCAAATAGAGGGGGACGATCACATCCCTCGATCTGCTCGCTATGCCCCTACTTATACATCCCAAAATGCCATTGGCCTTCTTGGCAACAAGGGCACACTGCTGGCTCATATCCAGCTTCTCGTCCACTGTCACCGCTAGGTCCTTTTCTGCAGAACTGCTGCCTAGCCATTCGGTCCCTAGTCTGTAGCTGTGCATTGGGTTCTTCCGTCCTAAGTGCAGGACCCTGCACTTATCCTTATTGAACCTCATCAGATTTCTTTTGGCCCAATCCTCCAATTTGTCTAGGTCCCTCTGTATCCTATCCCTGCCCTCCAGCGTATCTACCACTCCATCCGCAAATTTGCTGAGACTGCAATCCACACCATCCTCCAGATCATTTATGAAGATATTGAACATGTGGGTACCCATAGCAGTGCCGCTGATTTGAAGGTATACGTTGTCCCCAGATGTGAAATAGTTATGGGTGAGGACAAAGTCACAAAGTTCAGCCACCAGGTTTGCTGTGACATTAACGGGGATACTGTTCCTGACGGCTTGTAGTCCATCTTTGTGTGGAATGTTGGTGTAGAGGGCTTCTACATCCATAGTGGCCAGGATGGTGTTTTCAGGAAGATCACCGATGGATTGTAGTTTCCTCAGGAAGTCAGTGGTATCTCGAAGATAGCTCAGACGTTCTTGTCAACTGCTGGAAATGGCCCACCTTGATTATCACTGCAAAAGGTTTCCCCCTGCCCCCTGCTGGTAATAGCTCACCTTAAGTGATCACTCTTGTTACAGTGTGTATGGTAAGACCCATTGTTTCATGTTCTCTAGGTATATAAATCTCCCCACTGTATTTTCCACTGAATGCATCGGATGAAGTGAGCTGTAGATCCCGAAAGCTTACGCTCAAATAAATTTGTTAGTCTCTAAGGTGCCACAAGTACTCCTTTTCTATTTATAGACATTTTTGTTTGGAAAACTCTGTTAGAGTTTAGAAGATGCTACTTGAGAATAGGTTTCAGAGTAACAGCTGTGTTAGTCTGTATTCACAAAAAGAAAAGGAGGACTTGTGGCACCTTAGAGACTAACAAATGTATTTGAGCATAAACTTTCGGGAGCTGCAGCTCACTTCATTGGATGCAACTTGAGAATAGTTTCTTATTGACATAATTGTCAGTAGTAGACAGCAGAAGAAGTTGCATATCTGTCCAATACGCTATGTCAGGGATAGGCAAACTTTTTGGCCCGAGGGCCACATCTGGGTATGGAAATTGTATGGAAGGCCATGAATGCTGACAAAATTGGGGTTGGGGTGCAGGAGGGGGTGTGGGCTCTGGGGTGGGGCTGGGGATGAGGGCGGGAGGGGGCTCTGGGCTGGGGCAGGAGGGGCTCAGGGGTGCAGGCTGTGGGCGCTACGTACCTCAAGCAGCTCCAGGAAGCAGCAGCATGTCTCCACTCCCGCTCCTACGTGGAGGCCCGGCCAAGGGGTTCTGCACGCTGCCCCTGGAGCCACCCCTGGAGCTCCCATTGGCCACAGTTCCCAGCCAATGGGAGTTGTGGAGGCGGTGCTTGGGGTGGTGGCAGCACACAGAGCCCCCTGGCTGCCCTTAAACATAGGAGCCATAGGGAGAACTTGTCACTGCTTCTGGGAGCTGCCCAGATCTGTGGCATGCGCACGCAGAGCGGCCCCCGAGCCCACTTCCTGGCTGGAGCGTGGGAGCTGGGCAAGTCCCAGACCCTGCTGCCCAGCAGGAGCTCGAGGGCTGGATGTGGCTTGTGGGCCGTAGTTTGCCCACCTCTGGGCTGTGTGATTCTAATTTGCATTTGCTGAAAATTTCCATAAGAATGCTAGAGCAAAACTTAGGGGTGGGGGTGGGAGTGTAAAAATAATTTTGTTGATTTTGGGCTTTGTGTTTAAATAAATAAGACAAATGCAAAAATTGAGCCAAATTTTGAACTGACATTCTTGCTGAAATGTTCAGCAACAGCAATTCAGATATGTGTGTGTGTGTGTGTATATATACACATATATCTATCTCAGAGTTGTATGTAACTTCCACACGCTATTGCTATTAATTCTTTGTCAATAAGAAACTAATATGAAATGTAATTCTCAAATTTATGGTTTGAAATGTACAATAATCTCAATTTCTGCATTCAATTTTAATAAATAATTATTAACGTCTGTGGTTTTTCTCTTGGTTTCTTGCTAGTACAATAATTTAAGTAAATAAAAATGTCAAATGGTACTTGGGGATAAGCAGCATTTTTATCTGTCAAAAATCATATAAATAGCAACATCTAAGTTTGTATTTTGACATATATACAGGTATTACTTCTCCCAGCATTGAAACACAGCCAGCTACAGCCTGTGGTATGGCAGCTGTTTAACAGTGCTCGGCGACACTGCACAATAATTTAGTGCAGGAAATGCATAATACTGCACCTAATTGAGAGTACTCTGGCATTCTTATTTTTTAAAGAGAAAAAAATAAATTAGCCTTTGCAAACTATTGTAAAGGCGGAGGAGAGATCAGATTTTCATCCTGCCAGTCTGAATTATATTGTCTTTATTTTACTGTCTTTAAAAGTCTATTTGGACTGTCACTTGTAGTTGGAAAAGCCACACTCCCAAGAATGTCAGGAACATGGAGAACATTTTGAGTGTGAAGATGATACCTAGGTGAAATAATTACCCAGTAACTGAAAAGCACAACTACAAACTATCTGAATGCGAAACAAAGATAGGAGGAATAATAAGAGAACAATATGGCTCTCTCAGGAACTCTTTAATGGCCTGGAAATCAAAAGGGAATCCCTACAAAAAGTGGAAACATGGCATAATTGCTAAGGAGGAGTACAAAAAAATAGCACAAGCATGTAGGGACAAAATCAGAAAGCCTAAAGCATAAAATGAGTTACATCTAGCAAGGGAGATAAAAGGCAATAAAAAAGAGGTTCTTTCAATACATTAGGAGCAAGAGAAAGACGAACCATCCAGAGAAGAGCAACAAAATGATTAAAAACGTTTAGGAAACCTGGGATATGAGGAAAGGTTAAAAAATTGGACATGTTTAGGCTTGAAAAAAGAAGACCAAGGAGAACTCGATAACAGTCTTCAAGTATGTTAAGGCCTGTTATGAAGAGGACTGTGATCAGTTTTCCTCCATGTCCACTGAAGATAGGACAAGAAATAATGGGTTTAATCTGCAGCAAGGACGATTTAGATTAGATATTAGGAAAAACTTTCTAACTGACTAAAGGGTAGCTAAACTCTAGAATAGGCTTCCAAAGAAGGTTGTGGAACCCCCATCTTTGGAGGTTTTAAAGAACAATTTGGACAGGCACCTGTCAGGTGTGGTCTGTGTATACTTGGTCCTTCCTCTGTGCTGGGAAATGGACTTGATGACTTCTTAGGGTCCCTTCCAGCCCTACATTTCAGTGATCTAAGGCATTGTCCTTTTTTTACCCCTACTATCTGATTTCTTTCCTGATGAATAGTTAACGGAGGATTACTGTTACTTCCTATCGTGGTAATTATAAATTGTTTGTTTTCATGTTTGTCCAGGTGCCAGAAATATGGGTACCCTTAATAAGCTATTATAAAGGAATAACATGTACATCCTTATGTCCTCTTGTAATTACTGTGAGCCTCTAAAAAGAAAAACAGGGAATGGAATCTCATAGCAGAAAGAACCTTCACAAGCACCGGCCTGGGACAAATTCCACCTCTTTCTGAGTTCCCCACAGTTTATGATCTTTGATGGTGAATTGTGTTTCCTTTCACCTCAGTAATGGAGAATACCACAGCATTTTACCTTTTTATAACCTGCATAGGGACAAGAAAAAATAGCTTCCAAGTTTTAGACCTATAGAGCTCCAAATGATTTAAGATACAGAATCACATATTGAAAGAGACTGACACATCTACGGTCATCTGAGGCTCCTGAGTTAACAGACCCTCAAGGAGAGGCCTGTGGCAGGATGTTTTGGGGAAAGGGTCCTTTGCTCTGAAAGTGTCCTTTGCCAGTTCGCTAACAAAACATTGAATTGTTGAACTTCATTGCACAGTGCAAGGCCTGTACAATTTCTGAGGTTTTCCTGAAGGGATTGGGCGTGGGGAAGACTTTATTCTTGATTAGCTGAAGGGAGTCACCTTGTGAATATTGACCTAACTCATAAAAAATCACATAAAAAAAAAAGTTGTATTTGTGATTGAGGTTTAAATAGGTACATTTAATAAGTCAAAGTGAGAGATTTATCTTTAAAGGATTGTTGTTCTAAAGGTTTTGTTAATGCCAGCCCAAATGCAGGTATTAGTACTCCTATCCTAAACTGTTTTATACTCATAAAAAACTGTCACATTCCTTCTCAGAAGTGGCCACACTTCAGTGGTAAGTGAAGTGATCCCTGTTTATATTTTTAGATCAAACTTATAAAGTGCTTTGGAATGAAAAGTTCTATATAAGTCTCTTATATTTTTTGAATAAGTGTGTGTGTGTTGCATCTTTTTCCCCCAGCCTGGGTTGACACAATCTGGGAACTAGATTTCACTGAGACAGAGCCTCTGGATTCCAGAATAGAAGAGGGGATCACAGAGGATGGACTTGATGCCTTCAGCGAACTTTACAAGACTCTCTACTCTTTTGTTGACGAGGACCATGGGACCACTGAAGTAAGTTGGAAATTATCCATCTCTCTACTTGGTAGCAAAGATGTACCCACTGAATTTTCCTACTATGCATGCTCTCCCCATCTTTCTGTAGTAGTTTAGTAATTAAATATTTTGACCTCCGAATGAGTAACTGATATTTTATACAGTTGTATTCAAAGAATACATATCTGAGATGCAGGCTGTTTCACAGAAAGGATATTAAAATAAAAAACCTACGTATGTGGGGAGTGGACAGAAGGACAATTTTTCAAAGTGTTAATGGTAGCTGACGGGGAACTGTATTGCCCTGGTGTGGTTCACAAAAGAGTTCTATGGTTAAGTAGTGGCTAGGCGTCTTCTGAATGTAAGTGTTGTTCTAACCATCTCTTCTCCATCCATTTACTTAAAATCATGAAAGAAAATCTCTAATTTAAACAAGTTTGGTTATCCCAAATGGCGTGGTTCAGTGAATTAAAAAAAAAAAAAAATCTAGCTTGTGAATGACCTGTTTTTCCTTCAAACCGGCATCATAGCCCTTTGTGTTCTTTTTGATTTGAGTGGCCATAGTAGCAAGTGGGGGGAAATTGATGTGAGATTTACCATAGTTCTTACGATCAGTTTTCTGCTTTGTCTCAGAGTATCTGGACCCTCTTTGCTGAGAACAATCTCTCCCCCAGTGCTCTTGTGGCTGTGTTGTATCACTTTGTCCAAGTGGCCCAGAATAAAAAGGCTATTGTACAGCAGCGGTTATGTGCCCTCCATGCTGCTGGGCTGTACTTCTTACTGCTTGAAATACCAGGTAAGTAGATAGACCTTCCTTTTTAGTGCTAGTGTGGCTAATTTGGCTCAAGCTGTCTGGACAGTGCTTTTACATGTCCCTTGTTCATAAGAACATGAAGTTGGATTGGTAATGGCTGTTGAGCCATTCTCCTCTAGAGTTGTGTGGATGTGCAGTGCTGGAAAGTTGCTATAGTCTTAGTGCTTTGGTGTTGTATGTGAAACAGTTTGATGATCTCAGTCCAGGTCCTAATTGCCAGACATCTTAATCAGTCTCTCCCCCTGACTGGCAGTTTTAGCAGAGGGGCCTGAATGTGACATGGAGATTGAACTTCACCAGGGAAAGATTGTACTGCCAATGCTTGTGCTGTACTTGCTTTGCAGATAGAGAGGATTCAGCTCACTATTGCTATCAGGCTGATCATGAAAGCAAAATTCTCTGACTAAAATAAAAGGTAATCAGAGTTTTCTAGCAGGCTGAATCTGTGGCTGCATCTTTTTGTGTTTTAAGGCTGATGTACGTTCTAGTTAAAAGTTTTGTGTTAAATAATACAGCAAATTCCAGTTTGGCTCATTGTCCTGTTCTATCAGCACCAACAGAGAACGTTTTTGCTGATTTTACTCCTTCCTGCAATTTAATTTTGTTAACTTAAATACTGATTTTTCACTTTCTGAACCTCAAGTCACCAGAATGGCACTCGTGTTCTAGCCATCTGATTGTGCAAACAAGTGGAGCAGATGGCTGAATAATTTTATGCTTTTCATTTATTTGTAGTTTTGTTCTGAAAATGGCTGTTTTGTTTCTGGGCAGGCAGCGTGGCTCATCAGGTGTTCCATCAAGTGATGTTTGACAAATGTCTTCACACCCTGAGAAAGAGCTGGCCTCAAGGGTGTGAATTGACTAGGAAAAGGAAAAAGGATCATGCTAAAAGCTCTCAGGCTGAAGCAAGAAGAAATAAAAAGAAAGGAAGGCCAACCAGGAAAGAGAACTTTGATGTAAGATAATGTTCATACAGTATCTTCAGATACAGTATCCTTATGCTCTCTATTAATTCATAACTCAATAGGAAGCTTATTTAATTTCCAAGTCAAAATGAGACTTCTCTTATCTTCCAGCACTTTACTCTCTCAACCTTGCATTCTGAAATCAAACTGTGTTCTTTTTACTTTGCACATCATTACAAACTTCTGAAAAGCCAGGCATGCAAAGTTAGCTGGCAGTTTCTTTGATGATGAGTGAGTTGCGACAGAAGAAAGCGTGCTGTTCTTCAGCATATTGTTAACATGTTCAGCAGCGTATAGACATGTTGATGTTAATCATGAGTGCAGCCTGTAGCTGTTTTGTATATTTAAGAGATCTGCATGTTAGCAGAACTAGAGGACTAAGGGTATTCAGATCTCCATACTAATCTAATGATGGGAGACTAAGGACTAAATACTTGCAGCCTCCTATGAAGTGCACATGACTGCACCTCTTGAAAAGTTCTAACTTTTCTAAAACCTTCTTTGTTATATTTGTTAACATTAATTGAGTCCTGAACTGGATATCAGAAATCTGAACATGAGGGCAGGGTCATGATGAAAGAGGGTGGAAGAGAGTAGGCAGAGCTAGGAATTTGGCTTTGTGTACATCAATATCAGAATTCAGACGCCCAACCCTAGTTCCTCAGGTGTTTTTGTTTGTAAAATCTCAGATGGGAACAAGCTGTGTGAGATTTTTCTGGGAGCCCCCTTCTCCCTTTTCCCAGCTAATAGTAAATGCCTTTAAATAGTTTGAAATAAAATATTTGGTACGTTGGATGCAAATTCCATCCTGCTTTACTATTAATTAAATAAATTCCAGCCTCAGAGTTTCTGCATAGTACAAATAAGAGTTCCTGCTTTCTAAGAAAAAAAGCGGTTGTATCAATGATAAATGATACTTCTGTCTTCTACCAATCTAGATGGATGAGATTTTTGAAGAGGATGAGGATCAAGAAGAAGAGGTTTATTTTTCAGGACATGATCTGCTTCAAATTCGGGAAGCCATCCTCCTCCTCCTGAAAAACTTCTTAAGACTTCTGCCCAAGTTCTCTCTGAAAGAGAAACCTCATTGTGTGCAGAACTGCATGCAGGTAACTAAGACTACTAAGGACTCAGGCACACAGACAGATCCTGATCACTGCCCCTCACATAACATCACCCCTTTGCTTTCTTGCAGACCTTTGTTGAGTTGACAAGTTTTGAGCCTGCAGTGCATGAATTCGAGTTTTCAGGAACAATGTGAGCTATTATTTCTTAATGTTAATACATTGTTTTGAAGAGGTAAATATGGTGAATATGTTAAGTATTATTATTCTGTGGATGTTAAAATGAAAACAGTGATTTTTCTCTAGATAATATTGAATTAGTTCTTCCTAATTTACATAGAAATGATATTCAGTGAATTTTAAACATGTCTTTCCAGTTAATACAGAGTATGTTTGGTCACTTTATTAAAGTTAATAAATATCCGGCAGTAGGTGAAGCCATCTCAACGTATTCTTTTGTTCAGGAACATAAACCAAGCAAAATATGTCCCAGAGTTGGCCTATCACGGGCTGCGGTTGCTGTGCTCCCCGCTTCATGGTGTAGAAAATAAGGTAAAAGTCTTGACAAAATCTTTCAGGTCTTTCTTTATACATCAAAAAGAAACTATTATTCCCCCCTTTAACAAGCCACTTTCATTATATACGTTGTTTCCCAGTTGGAGATAGGCTTAGGTACCTCTTTTTCCTCATCCCTATATCCTGTGACTTCTGTGAGGATTTGTTGTGTATCTATATAGCATAGTTTAATGAAAACATTTTAGGGATTGTGTTTCAAAAGCTAAGTAAAGTTGCATCTCTTTAATATCTTAGAGCAGAGAATCTGAACAGTTACTGACTTGAACTGCCAGTTCTCTTGCTTCCTGCTAGGTGGTGCTCTAATTCTGTCTGTTAGTATTCTCTGTTGTGGCACAGTTTGGTGATAGGGGCAGTGGGGATTGTGGGAATATTACGCACAGTGGTAAACAGGATTAATGCAAATGGGCAGAAAATTCTTTCTCATAGGAACATCTCATTATACCAAAGTCTGCAGCTTGACCTTTTTTATTATTTTGTTAAATCAAGCACCCTGCATAAATGCTTAATTATTTACATATTGTATCTGTGTTTCCATAGGGCATGTGAACTTAGAAAGTATCCATGTTTTTCTGGATTGTAATCTAATGTCAAGAGGGCACTAGTCTCATTTTTTCAGAGTTTGAACCCTCCTTTCTATCTCTTTGTTGCTCAGGCCCCTCAGTCAAATGATATGAATAATAGGAACAGTGTGGCAAGCAATGGAATGCCAAAAATGTACCTTCTGAACCATCAGTGCATAAGGAAGCATAGGCGTTTAATTTAAGGTGTTTTCTGTGAGGAAAATAATGAATTTCCCCAAGTTCTGTGGATTTCTGTTGTTCCTGATTCATAGAGTTTAAGGCCAGAAGTCTGACGGCCTGTACACCACAGGCTGTTAAATTTCAATCAGTTACTCTTATATTGTGTTCCACTTGAAATTATGCACCTTTTTAACTTGATTGTCCTGCTGGAAAGTAACTTTTTAGGTCTTTTCAGGTTTGTATGACATCAGTTAGGGTAAGTATAACCCCAGTATAAGAAAGATGCTCTCTGTGTATGTAGCTTCCCTTTTAAAGTATTCTGTTTGGATTTTGTAAGGGAAAAATAGTTTCGTATGAACCTGCTTGAATTATTTTATTAACCAAGACACAGTGGTATTCTAGCTCCTGTACTTGTTGTTGAAGATCAGCTGATTCTGGGTGTCTTTTTCTTCCAGACTCTGCACCGTATCTTCCATCGTCTCCTCAATGTCATCCTCATGCTGGAAGGGGAAGAAGGATCCAGGCATACAGCCCTTTCTGTCACATCACAAGTTATTGGTGCTAGGAATCAGGGAATAAAATTCATCAGGTGAAGTACAAAGTTGTTTGGTTAGCATAATCTTACTCCCCATTGCTAGTTAATAGAGGGATTAGAATAACTAAGGCTTATTCTGAAGCTGTTGTGTATAGGTGAGGATTAATTTCAATTTCTGTCAGAAGAGCTAACATAGGACTTGTCTTCTGAGGGGAAAAAACACTGAATGTTGAAAACTGGGATGGGAGGGCAAAGATCTCCTGTTTTAGACTTGCAGCAAATTGTGAGGATTTTAGTTCATAACTGAGTGTGATGAAGGAGACCTTTAGTTAGGAATGTATCCCTTAATTCTCTTAATTCTCATCTTTCTATTTCTTAGCTTTTTGCTTTCATTTATGCTGTCCCTTATACTTGGAACAATATTCTACTTTCATCTGCCAAGGGCTTGTTATTTCCTCCAACCCTATTCATAAATACCTGCTCCTTCCAGGAATCTTTCTTGTATAGGCGCTCCATCTTTCTGTGACATCCCCTACCTTTACTGCTGTCCTTTGTCTTGTCTACTGGAGAACACAGGTGTTTGGGACAGACGGGACACATCTAATTCTGTTTTGCCAAGTGCTGCTCAAGTTTTTGGCTCTAGCTAAATGATTGAAGTCCTCACCAGTTAGATGCAATTAAACAAACACTTGGGTACTGGTGGGCTTAGTAACAGAACTGACCCAGGTATGGAGCTTTACAACGTTATGCTATGCAGCAGTCACAAGAGGGTGGGGGTTGGCTAACTGTTGCACGGAGTTTGTTTTTAGTACCCTACTTCTAATGTGTTGCTTTTGGGAGCAGCTGCTATTTCTGACTTCCTCTTCCTGCATTTAGAAACAAGAATATTTTAAAAGCACAGTTTATACAGAGACCAGTGAACAATATTTAACTGTCAGAGTAGGAATAAGGAAGCTCTGTGTACAGCTGCCTGTCTGAATGTAGGAGATGACCTTGTGCTAATTTTTTGCTCCCTATTACAATAGCAACCTGTTATAAGTTGCTTGTTTCTGTTTTGTACAGCTCTATAGTAGATGAACTAAAGGAAGTCGCCTTTCCTGTGCTCCGAATCTTACTGCAGCATATCTGTGCCAAGGTATGTTAGCTCCTTTTTATGTCTCGGATCTAAAGACAGTGGCACTATTCTTGGATAAAATGTGATGCCTATGAATGAACGTGGAGAATCTATTTCCTTAACTTTCACCACTTAAACTTTATCACCATGGGTCTTCTGTTGGGTATTTTAGTATGTCTGAGATTCTTGTGACAAAGTGACTCTCTTTAGATCCATGTAAGTGTTTTCAAACCGTCAAAGTATGGCACGCATCTTAGCAGAGAGATTCTCATGGACATTTCTCCACTGTTCACAATTGCTTGTACCTTCTACTGACATCTTAAACGAAAAAATTCAATCTTGTGACAAACCAATTACTTATGTGGCCAAGTAAAAATAGAGAAACATTTAACATATGTGTAGTTACTGTCAGGGTGACTTTAGTACCTGAAAACGAAGATTACAAGAGCCCTGTGACCAGCCAGCTGTCCATGGATCACCCTTTAAATCAAGATCACTTTTTTCCAGTCTTCACAGTTGCCTTGGGAAGCTAGCATTATCCCCGTTTTATAAAGGGGGAATCTTTTTGCTTTTGAGGGTTTGTGCGTTGCCCAAGGCCATATGTTGACCCATTGGCAAAGACAAGCTTAGAATGCTGGAATTCCTGGTTAACAGTCCTGTGCTTGCACTGCTAGGCCGTATTACCCTCTTGAATAAACTGATATTTATTCTGAGGACTGAAATGTGTTTTAGCTATCATAACAGACCATCCGAATATTGGTCTTGGCAAATTCCCTTGTCCTTGTATTTCAGGTCCCAGATAAAGCTGACTATCGTACCTATGCCGCACAAGCCCTGATGCAATTGCTGAATAAGCTCCCTTGTGCAGAGTATGCTGATTTTATAGCTTGGCTTTATAGATACTCACATAATACCAAGGTAAGTGTATATCCTATTTAATACACCAGACCTTTGGACATCGGTGTATTCTGAGCAGGTAAAACGCCGTATAAGTACGAAATAGTATTTTTCTTATAGCTGACGGCCGATAGCAACTAGATTACAGCTGTGATAGATGTCTCAGTGCTTTAACACTGCCGTAGTAGAGAATCTGGTGTTCTTCACTTCCATAGATTCCCTACAGGGTGTTTGCCCTTGATGTAGCCTTAGCTTTGTTGGATATGCCGGAGAGGAAACTGGACAGCTCCTTGTCTGTGGATCATCAGAAGCTTCTAAAGCACAAGTTTCTGGTGCAGGATATGGTGTTCGGCCGCTGCTCAGACAAGGCACCTACGGTCCGCAGCAAAGCACTATCCAGTTTTGCTTACTGTCTGGAAATGAAAGCTGCCACTACGTTGGAGAGTATACAGGAGCTATTACAAGGCAGTAAGTATGGCAGCTGAATTCAGTATTGCTAAATGTCTCTTGAATTTTTGGGGGAACAGTTATTGGGAGATCAAAGATCTAATTGTCAAGGAATTAGAAATCTGGGCAGAGGTCCCTTAGGTGTTATGACAAAGTGAAAAGGTAGTCGTCTTGTTACTCATTACAACTTATATTTAGAAAGGCTTTATTGACAGTATGACTGGTTTAAATAGACTCTGCTGTGTGATGACTTTGAAAGACATTTACAAACTACTTAATGACTCATTTAAAAAATAAATTCCTCATTCCTGACACACAGTTATTATCTTCAGAAACCTTTAGTGTCTGGGAAGTTTAAATCTGTCATGTTTAGCATGCTAAACTTCCCATAGTGTGATTAAAAAGCCAGATGGCATGCTCCAGTAATGCATATGCAGTCTCCTATTCTTAGATTACCTGCCTGATTATTTTTGGAAAGAAGAAGAATCCTGAATGGAATTATCTTGTTTGATTTTTTTTTTTCTTCTTTCTGCAGCTTCTGGTCATATACTTTTAGACACAAACAACTACCCTGAGAGTTTGGTAACCCACACAGAAGGTAAAGTCTTCTCTTAAAAATGTTTGTTTTTCCTCCACATGCCTTATGTTCTCTACAGAGAAATAATTTTGATATATGAAATCTCGGGGTGGGTACATCACATTCTCCATTTAGTGATGCGCCACACTGTGCAGAGAACATATCCTTTTTGTCTTCTTAATCCTTTGATTTACTTTTTTTTCTCTTAGCTCACTCCGACCATCCACTGAAGACTCTTCCGACTTTCAAGACCATTGAATTGACCAGGGATGGTGATACCACTGTGTTCGATGGTAGGTCAAAATCACATTTGTCTTTTCAGCTGATATTAGGTTTTGGCAGTGTCTAACAGCAATCAGAGCCTCTTATGTGTATTCAGCATTTAGTTTTCTATATAAGTAAACAGATCTTTCCGTAGCGATTTTAGGTTCCACTTCTATGTAATGAGGGGAGGGTTAGAATTTTCAGTTTTAAAGAAATTCCATTTCCATTTAAGTCTGGAAGAACCACTCTGGAAAGTGTATTTAATCTTGACATATTGATGTTCATTTCTACTGATGTGGCAGAAGCACTTGTCAAAAAGCACATTAATTACCATCTCTTTTGGAAGGAGTAAATTATGTGGATGATAACACTTGTAGCTCCATTGCTTGTAATAATATTAATAAAATCTCTTGCTTCAGAGCACAAGGAACAAATATATTTTCCCCACATAAATATTGCACCACTTACTAGGTGCATTATGTGGGATTAGAATTCACTTTTCTGCAGCATCAGGTATTGGCATCTTGTCCTGAGCTTTTGGGAACTGCACAGCTGTACCTACATCTTTGCTCTTATATTTACTACTCCCACTACCACCACTCCCTTTGTACTGCTGCTAATCCCACTTCACTATTCCCCTTGTGTCCCTCATGTATGTCTTCGTTACTTGTCGCATGCTGCTCCCTACACAGGAACTCCCTCCATATCTCAGTGTGACAGGCTCCTATCTTCTGTGTTAAAATCCTTCCTTAAAACCAATAAGAATCCACTCAGTAAAACATATGATATTCTTATAAGATCTACTCTCTGAGATAGAAATGCCTTCTAGGCCACTCAGTGTATGATGTGTTCTCTATTTAGGTTGTAGGCTCCATGGAGTAAAGAGTGTGGCACTTAATAAAACAAATTAATAACAATAACTCAGTGCAATGGGTTGGCTGTGCTTGATAGGATAGCTGGAACACCAGGGACATGTGAGCCAGAGTTGAGGTGCATTAGCAGAGTTGTCTGGCTGCATTATACTTGACTCAAGCCTATGCTAATTTCTTACTTACATGAGGACCAAACAGTTTAAATATTTTAGAAAGAAAAGAAATGGTAAACAATGTATTCAAAATGTGATCAACCCCATGTTTAGAAGAGACAAAAGAATGGCAGTGTTGGCCCAATGGGGCTACTCCTGGGGGAATTCTGCATCACTGCATGTGTGCAAAATTCACGTCCCCTGCAAATTTCTTGGCTTCTCTGCAGAAAAATGACTTCTGAAGGGGAAGCAAAGGGAAGCCGCAAGAGTGGTCACGCGCCCCTCCCCAGCAGCGCAGGCAGGTTGATTCGGGCGCCTGGAGCAGCTGGTTGAGACGTAAATCACCGCCAGGGGTTAGGAAGGGTTAGGCAGACATGCGTGAGAGAGAGAGAAACTGTCCCTTTCGCTCGCTATTACAGCACACTTGGCATGGAGGGGCAGAGCTTTGGGTTGTTTCTGAGGAGCTAGGCGTGGGGCAGGCTCTGTTCTCTCAGGCAGAGCAGAATGTAGCATCCTGCCTGCTTAGTGAATTGTTTTCATTGTTCTAGTAAACTCCCCCAGGAGTATAAAACAGGTGTAAAAGTCTTAAGGCTCCTTTACATTGCCAGAGTGGTGTAAAGGACAGTATGGCCTCATAAATGCTTATGGTGCTTTAGTAATTAAAACTGGTCTAAATTTTTGGACTGAAAAAATTTCCTATTGGAATGTGCTCCATGAACTGTTTGCTACTGACCTTTCTGGAGATGGTCAGTAGCCAATACAAATTGTGTGTTTGATTCCCCAGCGCCTACTTGTTCTTCAGTTGTCTATGATGTAACCTTGAGCATATGGCTACATATATTTGTTGACTAATAACTAGAAATAAAGGGTCAAACCTTGCTACATTACTATTAGGAAAGGGAGTTTGGCGATTTCCTCCAATGCTCCCCACTCCAAATCTTCATCCATTGTATTGTAGTTTAACTAAATTACCAAAATAATTGAAACCATATGACCAACAAAATATGCAGAATTTTGCAGAATTTTAAAATACTGTGCACAGATTTTTTAATTTTTTGGTGCAGAATTTTCCGGTGCAGAATTCCCACAGGAATACAATAGGGTTAATGCACATTACAGAGCCTGTAGTACCTATTGTGTACTACATTATGTTCATTCCCTTTATAGTCCTTCTCCGCCTGCTGAAGGTCACCTTGGTATTGTTCCTGTCCATTATGCTGAAATGCTCAGTCAGTGCCAGTTGGCAAGAGCATGATTATCTTAGCCAGTTGGTTCCCCCTGCAATAGTTTAGTTTGTCATGGACTGACCTCCCCAGAAAACTTGTTGCTACTAATTAAGGCAGTATATCTCTGTTCCTGTAAAAGGATCTGACACTATCAAGCCATCTAGCAGCTGAAGTCAAGTGGAGAGAATAGCTGCCCATTAAAAAGGCATTTAGGTCCCAATCCAAAGTCCATTAAAGACAGAGTAATGATTCCCATTGACTTCAGAGGTCTTTGGATCAGGGTTTTACTGACCAGAACACAGAAGCGCAGTGCTCCAAGCTGGACATGTATTATAGAAACAGTGTTTTATTGGGGAATCGTTTTACGCTGAGACTTTGCAAAGTATACTTGGAAGAAGATGAACATGTAGGAAATTCCACTATAGGAGCTCTGAAAGATAACAGCAGGATTGAAACTAGTTCACCAGAACAACCAGTTTTAGTGCTAGAATGCTGATTATTCTGGGTGTCAAGGGTGATAACTGACAATATAAGAGCCTAGTTACATCTACCGGTTAATAAACTCACTGGTAGACTATATAATTTCCCCTAATCATGTATAAAAGTTTGTTTCAGTATTTGCAAGGAAAATAAAGCTTTAGGCCTAATTTCCATGTATAGGGAACGGAAGTGGTGTTCTGCTTCCATCAGGACTCTCGGGTTCTATTTTTACTCTGCCACTGACTTTGTGACTTCATGCAAGTCACTTGACCCCTCTATGCCATAAGTTCCCCATCTGCAAAATAGATGTATTAATACTTCCTTCATCACAAGGGGTTGTGAGGTTTAATTCACTAATGTTTGTAAAGCACACTGAAATTCTAGTGTGTGAGGCTTGTAACCCATCTTAGATTATTTCCGAGTAGTTTTCTCATGTCCCACTACCCAAATCTCTATCCCACAAACAGCAGAGTTACCATCATACAGACTTTCTTGAGAGTTTTGCACAGTGTTAATTTGATAAGACTTTTAAGGTTAAAAATGATCCGAGGCCTCTTTATAAAGAAAAACAATTGGTCAAAAATTACACATTCCCTTTATTTTTATTTTATTTTCTAAAACATTTAGTACGTTTTAGAGACGCTACAGAAGCAGAAAAGGCAATAATAATGGGGGATTTCAACGACGCCCATCTTGCCTGGGGATGTGTTGCCTCAGGGAAGGATGCAGAGATAAAATTTCTAGACCTATTAAATGACTGCTTCTTGGCTCAACTTGTCCTGGAACCCACAAGGAAAAGACCATTCTTGCTTTAGTCCTAAGTGGAATGCAGGATCTGGTCCAAGAGATGACTATAGCTGAACCACTTGGTAATAGAAATTTAGTATACTTGTACAGGGGGAAAATACCAAGGAAATCCACCACAGTAGCTTTTAGCTTAAAAAAGGGGAACTACGCAGACATGAGAGAGCTAGTTAAAAGGAACAGTCACGAGGGTAAAATGCCTGCCAGCTGCAAGGAGGCTATTTAAAAACACCATAATAGAGGCTCAAACTAACTGTACGCCCCAAATAAGAAAAAGAACAATAGGACTAAAAAAATGCCAGCATGGCTAATTAGCAGAGTGAAAGAGGTGGTTAGAGGCAAAAAGGTTCCTTTTAAAAATTGTTGGTGTAGCCATGTTGGTCCCAGGATATTAGAGGGGATGGAGGGGAGATTCCCCACATCTGAGCCATTCTTTTTAGGTGACAGAGATCTGAGGAACTGTCCCAGACTGAGGTGTCAATAAAAGATGTTTTGGAACAAATTGATAAATTAAACAGCAGTAAGTCACTAGGACCAGATGGTATCCCCCAAATGTTCTAAAGGAACTCAAATATGAAATTGCAGAACTACCAATTGTGGTATGTAACCTGTCGCTTAAGTCAGCCTTTGTACTGGTTGATTGTAGGATAGCTTATGTAACACCTATTTTTTAAAAAGGTTTCAGAGGTGATGCTGGCAATTACAGTCCAGTAAGCCTAACTTCAGTTCCAGGAAAATCGGTTGAAACTAATAATGAAGAACAGAATTGTCAGGCACGCAGATTAACATGATATGTTGGGGAAGAGTCAAGACAGCTTTTTAAAAAGGAAATCATGCCTCACCAATCTATTAGACTTCTTTAAGGGAGTCAACAAGTGTGTGGACAAGAGTGATCCAGTCGATATAGTATACTTGCATTTTCAGAAAGCCTTTGACAAGGTCTCTCACCAAAGGCTCTTAAGTAAAGTAAGTAATCAAGGGATATGAGGGAAAGTTCTCTCATGGATTAGTAACTGGTTGAAAGATAGGAAACAACGGTAAGAATATGTGGTCAATTTTCACAATGGAGAGAGGTAAATAGCAGCATGCCCCAGGGATCTGTCCTGGGACCAGTGCTGTTCAAAGTGTTCATAAATACTGTAATCTGGGGAAAGTGGTAAAGAGTGAGATGGCAAAGTTTGTAAATGGTGCGATAGTTAAGTTCAAAGCTGACTGCGAAGAGTTACGAAGGGATCTCACAAAATTGGGTGGCTGGGTAACAAAATGGCAGATGAAATTCAGTGTTTGGTAAGTGCAAAGTAATGGACGTTGGAAAAAATAATCCCAACTATACACACAAAATGATAGTTTCTAAATTAGCCTTTAGCACACAAGAAAGAGACCTTGGAGTAATCATGGATAAGTATAACTTGGTTCAAAAAAGAATTAGATAAGTTCATGGAGGATAGGCCCGTCAATGGCAATTAGCCAAGATGGTCATGGATGCAACCCATGCGCCGGATGTCCCTAAACTTCCAACTGCCAGAAGCTGGGACTGGACGTGGCAGGGGATGGATCTCTTGAAATTGTCCTGCTCTATTCATTGGCACTATTCATCTGGCATTGACCACTGTCAGACACAGAATATTGGGCTAGATGGACCATTGATCTGACCCAGTATAGCCATTCTTATGTACATAACTCTCCTTTCAGGATTTTACCTAAAATATAAAAGCAATACAAATATACTTAAAATTACAAATAAAATATTTGAAAATCAGGGGTTTTTTTTCGTTTACCTGCCAGATACTGTGTGGTTTTTCTTTTCCTGTCAACAATTGATGATCAACAGAGTGCGGAGCTGTGCTCTACCTTGTCATGATGTGCTGCTTGCCCTATCAGTATCTCCTGGTGGTGCTGCAGTCTCTACCTGTGTTGGATCTCATGATTCTTTTTCCATGCTTTCCCTGGACAGGGAAGGAGATTATGGGTATGCTGAGACTGAGAGCAGGGGATGAGAAGACAAATGTCAGGAAGTCTGCACTCCAGGTATATTCTCTACTGAGCACTGTGTGCTATTAATATAAACATGTAGGCTAACATTCTGCAATGAATTCATGGAGTGATCTGCCCACATGGAGCTCACTGAAGAATCATGGCCTCATTTTGCTGCTCCTGCAGCATATAGGCAGGTCTTTCAAAATGCCTTCTCCACTTGTTCCTGTTAATTGATGAGTGAATAATGCAAGCACAACGAATTCTACCAGTACTCTCGTTGAAGTTCACTTTAGAAATAGGGCTTCTTTTCAAATGTCAGTAGGCTTTTATATTAAGCAACTTCCTTATATAAATTGAGGCATGTTTGTTGGGTAGTTACTCAAGAATTCATGAACTCATTTACAAAGGAACTGGATTTTATCCAGCCTCGATTTTGGAGTGTGCTGCTTTAGTTTAAAAAAAAAAAAATCATAGAATAAGAGGCAGTTGGTCTTGGAAAAAAGAGACTGTCCTCTTGAAATCTAGTCAGTTTAAAAAAAAAAAAAGTTAAAATAGGCATATAATCCCTGCCCCACAGTTCTCCTCCTGGTTGATTTATGTTTGTACAAATATACTGTTTTGGGTCTATAGAATGTTTGTTTTCCTTTTCCTTGTTACTGTGTGATGACCCACACAAATGCAAAGGGAAACTGACTGTAACTGTACAGAGGGAAAGGTGAAGCTAACTTTACCTAAGTGCTGTTACAAAGCCTGTTCACTTTCAGTTTTTGTGTCCCCCAGTGTATCTCTAAGTCTTGAGATTTACCGTCGTTGGGACCAGTTCTTCTCCCATTGAAATCAATAGGAAGTGGGTTGGATTTTTCATTGGCAGCCAAATGTGCACCCATTGTATTCCTATCAGTGTTGTCACGGTGTTTGATTTCTAGGTCTTCACGAGTATCTTGAAGCACAACGTGATCCCATGTACCCCAGAAGACTTGTCCACTCTTCAAGATCGCTGCCGGGACCCTGCCGTCTCCGTACGGAAGCAGGCACTACAGTCTATTACAGAGCTCCTTATGGTGAGGGGAAAGAGCGCACAATATTTACCGAGACTGGCAGAGTATAATTTTATTTAAAGGGGGGAAAAAAAGAGGGAAAAGACCACATAAATTACTATCCACTTATTTCTCCACTGAATTTCTTTAGATTGATTTAACTTTGTTGCCTTTGACATGAAAGACCTATCTTACTCTTACACATAGTTGTGAATAACATTGACATTTCCTGTTGTTATACACATCTCTTTCTGGCTCTCATACGGCTCTCCTGTAGCAAATTGGTACATTTGTTGTTCACCTGGTCAGAAAAAAAAAAAGTCTGAATCATTGTACTGAGATTGCAGTATGCAGATTGTATCATTGAAAGATTTTTCCTGCTTTGATGTTTATTTACAAAAGGTTAGCAAAGGAGGATAAGAGCACAAGTTTTTTTAGGCACAGCTCACTACCGTTCGTTTTAAGTGACCTGCTGTAGTGCTTTCCTGGGACACTGTGTGAGACTGATTTTAGTTTTAGAAAATAAATATTACAAACCTCAGATCAGTAGGAATAACTGATATCTTGAGCATGAATATAATATTCAGCAATTGCATGGTGATTTAGAAATTTAAGGCTACTGGTCCCAAACACTGTAAGACTTCAATACTGCTTCATCAGTACCTTGGAAACTAAAATTGTCCAGGCTCTCATTAATCCCACCATAGCATCTGAATGCGTAGAATCTGAATTACTGGCTTCAAAGTATTTCTAATATGGAATTTTTTTCTCTTTAGACTCAACACAATAATGTTATGATACAGAAGGCCTGGTTAACAGGTGTGGTCCCTGTTGTGATGGACAGTGAGAACTCTGTGCAGGAAAAGGCCTTGGATTGCCTGGATCTGCTTTTGTTGCAGCACATTAAACACTATAATAAGTTCATGCATGAAGACCGAAACCAGACACTGGCCTGGGATCTCCTTGCCCTCATCACTGCAGAAAATCAGGAGTTGAGGTAGGTCAGTTGTACTGCCAATTCCAGTCAATAAAGAGGAGTCTGGACTCGTATGTTGGCCCCTTCCAACTCAGTGTTTCTCTAGGCATGTATTGCTGTTATAATGCTTGTACTCCTATAAAAATACGTGAAATGTGTCCAGCTAATCCTGTGTCAGGAGATTATTGACTACACTGTAGAGCAATAGCAGCTTGTCTGTCGGTTAGAGTAGAGGACTGGGACACAAGTTCAGTGTTCTGTTCCCGTCTCTGCCACTCACTTTCTGTATGACTCCAACCTTTGTGTATCTCTGTTTACTTACAATTAAAATGTATTTAATACCTACTGCACAGGGATGTTGTGAGGCTTAATTAATTTTTGATACATCTTTCGCCTGGGGATCTCAAAGTGATTTAAACAAGTACATGTTACTATTAAGTGGTACTGTCAGTGCTAATGTGGGTATTGTTATATTCTGAGCTGCTTGCATTGCTCTACCAGTTTAATGGGCAGGGTATAGCAGGCCTGAAAATCAACAGCCAATTATTTCCATGTTGGCAATTGGTGAGCACAGCACAGTTCTCCTGTGTATTGGATGTTTTAACTTTGATTCCTTTTCTCTGAACTCCAGTGTTCGAATGGGAGAATGACACATGTGGTGTGTCTCTTGGTGTATTGCTAGGAACTTGGACTGTTAAAGTTAATTGAGGGTGTGGTGATGAGAAAAATAACCATCTATATATTTATAGAGATCACTGTACATGGGATTTTTTTTCCCTCTCTTCATTCTGGTGTACAATATGTTACTTGTCTTATGACTAATAGTATCTTACTGCCTTTTGCAGAACGCTGTGGGAAGTAGCAAAAGAGATGAGGTGACACACAAAATGACAGGGACAAAACACTGATTAAAAGCAGCCTTATGTTTATTAGTCAACAGCATGTAATAGATCTTAAATAGAAAACTGATCTGTCGGTCGTGCTGCCTTTCTGGCTTGTAAAATCATTTTACCAGTCTAATTTTGGCTCTTGTATATCATACTTTGCACATCCATAACGCTTTCCAACTGAGAATTTCAAAGCACTTGATGAACATTGAGTTTCAGAATTCCCCCAGCATGAGGAAGGCAAGTATCATGGTCCTTGTTTGACAAAAGAGGAAACTTTGACCCAGAGAGGTAAAGTGAATTGCCTAATGACACAGAGGGAGCTTCCTCAGAGATGGGGGTAAATCCAGACCCTTAAATCCCAGTCCTGTGCCTTAATAACAAATTTATCTTCTTCTGGCTTGTGGATGTTGGCTAGAAACCGCCAACAAAAAATCTTCCCCTGCTGGATTCTTCTAGTTAAGTTTTCTTGGCTATAAGCATACCAGACATTGGGCCCAATTTAGCAGTGACCTGATATCTATAGTGATACATCCATATCTACGTGGCAGAAGCTTTGTGTGCACCTGAATTATGAACTGGAATATGGAAGAGAGGATGTAAATATTTGGGGATTAAATGTAGAATGGAAATCCTGATTTGTTCAGAACAATGAGAAGTAAAAGTTTTTTTACATAAATAGCCACCAGACGGCAATGTCACCAACTTCATTGTGTTGCCTGCTGCGTGAAGGGTGGCCTGGCTAAAACTGCTGGCCCTTAGTATAGATTCAGAGATGAGCTGTTTTGTCTGTGGCATGCTTAGCTCTTTTCTCCTTTCTGTCTTCCTTGCAGCCGTTATTTAAACAAAGCTTTTTACGTATGGTCCCAGAAGGAGAAATTCTCCTCCACTTTCATAAATAATGTAATGTCATATGTGGAAACAGAGCATGCTGCATCAGCCTGGATGGTGCTCGCAAAGGTAGCAGGTTCCTCACCCAAGCTGGATTACTCCAAGATAATCGAATCCTGGGACAGTGTCAGCAGGTGTGTGCCTTTATCTTAATCATTTGGCAATTAAAAGACATGCAGGGCAGGCCAAGAAAACGATCTCCTCTTCCTGTCTCTCCACAGGTAGAGTGTTTGGTGACTGCTTAGATCAAAGTGCTTAATTTAAACTAACAGTGCTTCCGTCTAGGAGAGAAGCAGTGGCCTGCAGCCTTGAGCTAGAGCCCGATCATCCAGTACCTTAAAGTTGCCTTCAAGCAATGTTTTCATTCACCCTGACAGTTCTGCCTTCAGCATGCATAATCCAAATGAAAGGATTTTCTGACTCTAGTCAGTTTTTCTTCTTGGATTAATGTTTCTATTTGTCCCTTTTATGGCCTTTCAGACAGCAAAATACCAGCACTAATACCGCAGGTCACATCCTGTGTGTAATTGGACACGTTGCGAAGCATCTCCCCAGAAACACCCAGGGCAGGCTGATTGGTGAGTGCCTTGGTGTGGGTCAGTGTTCAGCTTTGCCTCCCAGCTCCACTGTATTTTTGTCTTTCTATTCATAGTCAGCTAGCATGAGCACTCACCTCAGCTAGGTGTTTGACCTTCTTTTCAGATGATATCAAGTGCTGGCTGAAGGAGTTTAAGTGTCCCCTGGAGGTGATCAGCCCAGCTGTTGAAGCTCTGCAGAAGCTCTGCCATGCATACACAGATGCCCCTGGGGAGGCACAGGTGGGGCTTCGAATAGACTGTTTTAAAAGTGTATTTCACACATCTCGAGAAGGTCGTCTCTCGAAGACGGAGACATTTTCCTCTCCTGAAAATGCTGGTTTCTTCAGCGCACAAAGGAAAGAGACTTCTGACTCTAGAAAATTGCACCTCTCTTCTGTTGAGCCATCTTGATTGGTATATCATGCTAGCACTGGCATGCACCTAGTGTTAGGGATGGGTTTGAGAGAGCTGCTGCTTCTTTTTTTTTTTTTTTTCCCTAAGAGAATGTTTTGCAGTTGAAATCCGCTGAATTCACTTCCTTAAGGGACCTACAGTAGTGCCTATTTTGATACAGGGTTTTGTGTTTTGGATGCTTTTCCACTAGTTTATATTGAGGCTACAGACACGTTCTATGTATGCCACCATAGATTAAGTTGGTCACTACCAACCTGCTATGGACTCAAACAAGTGCAAGTAGGTGACCGTGTTTCTCAGGCTATGTTAATGGAAGAGCTTGTGACAAAGCCAAGGCAAACTGGGAAAGGGAGCAGGTTTGTGTGAAGATCTTTCCCCATTCTGCAGACCTCATTATAAAAGAAAGCTAGGGAGGTTCTAACTTACGGGTGGAGAATTCTGCATCCCTTTTAATTTTGCCACCTGGTTTCCCTTCCTTTTATGCCCCATCTGTCTGCTCTGTCTCAGTAGCTGGGAAGTTGGCGATCTTCAGTAGCTAAGCTCTGGAGCTCACCCTAAGCAGTGTTGTTTTTTTTTAAAAAAAAAAAAAAAAAAAGGGCTAAATTGGCATGAGTTTTTCCCTCAATATTAGACTCTTCCTACATATGGATTAATTTTCTTTCCCAACATTAATCGCATCTACCTCATAATGGTGTCTTAGACACCTACCATGGGTAGCTATGTAAATAGCTTAAAAAAATGCAGTAACCACACTAGCTGCTGTAGGAACCACTGTGCTTTGCTGAGATGCTGTTTAGTAAATTCCTATACCAATGTGCTAAAGCGGGTTCTTCTGTTTCTATCATTGGGAGAGTGTAAGGTTCATAAAGCAATGCCAAATGAAGACAATTGGCCCTTTCTACTTAGATACCAACAACTCCTGCATTTAAAGTTAAAACCTAAAGAGGAAAATAACTGTTCAGATCAGATGTTCTTTTGTAGATTTTACCCATATTTTGTTTGCAGCTGATTCCTGCAGCTAGATTGCTAAACAAAGACTGGGACAAGTTTTTAGCCGTAGAGAAACTGCTTAGTGTGAGGGCGCTGAGAGAGAGTATTCATTTCAGATTCGAGAAAAAGGTTTTCATTTACCACTTCAGGACTAATGCATGGAGGATGTTTTACCCATGATGCATTTCTTTAACGAGCACTGCATTGACTTGCCTTCATCTTGAAACAGAAGCTGCTCAACCAGGTATGTGGAGATCTAGTATCTGTCTGTGAGGGCTACATCTCCAGTATAGTCCTCAAAGAGGATGGAGCAGAGCAGCTGCAAGAAGACCTCTTGGTAAGCTTGGTATCCTTTCTGTACTGATTGATCAAAGAATTCATTTGTTCCCTCTTTAAAATGATGATTCTATGATTGTCCAGCTGAGCAGTATTCTCTGGAGTACTCTGCCTTGTACATTGATACAGGATTTTTTTGTTGTGGGGGTTGTTTTTTGGCCTTTAGCTTGCTTTTCTGATATTTATTATGGAAATAAACATAAATTAGAATTATATATTTGTTTTTAAAATATTCACTGGAATAGTTCATGAGATGCAATACTTTGTTCTCCTGTGAGTCCTAGAGAACAACAGGCCCAGGCCAGTCACCACAAATTTGACACGGTGTTACACACAATAAGAAGTAGGGCTTGGAAAGTAGACTGCAAGTGGAAAGCTTTCCTTGATGAGTGGGACAGCCCAGGCTATCAACTTCTACAGAATCTAGCCTTTCCTTAAACTACAAAAATAAATAAATAAATCCTCTTTCCAGCCCTTATGGTAATGAAGACAACACTCCAAATGTGATCAGTGCGATGACCTTTTCTTTAATCTCAGTGGTTCTACATCAGATGTGCTGCTTTTATGGGAATTTGTCAGCAAGTTTCAAGTCCATGGATTGAACGTAGAAATAGGTTCCTTCTGATTCACATATTGCCACCACAGTAAAGCATTCTGTAGACAAAAGGTTGCCCTCGTTTAGACCCTGTGCAACCCCATTCTCTTAAAATTATAACGTCCGTTAGATCTGTGCAGCTTTATTACTTTCACTTGGGATACAGAAATGTAGCTGAGCTCTTAATTTGAAGGCAAAGTGGGGTTGCACGGGTGATCCTTTCAACTGGAATATGATTGAGTATCCTGTTGATGCACAGTCCAGAACAGAATCCACTTCATTCTCCCAGTGTTGTGCTGGTTTGGCAGGAGTGGCAGTAGTTAGAAGTAGTAAAAGCTCTTTCAACTCAAGTCAGCAGATCTGACTTTAATACACAGAGAGCTGCTTTGAGTAAAAAATTCTCATTTTCACATATTCTCTTGTAGAGCAGCCCATTCTGAAAGGGATCTAGTCATTATTTGCATCCATTGGAGGCTGAAGAAGCATAGTTCCTCTGTTCCCTTGCCACTCTTACTTTCTCAAATCTTGAGGTTTCTAGAGAGGGGAAAACATCATTAGTTTACAGTTGTAGGGGAAAATACTAAATCCCTGTGATATTTCTCCGAGTACATGTCTATAGACTTTTGTGTGTGAGTGACTGGATATCATTCCTAATGGAAATTTTGAGTGATGTGCCAGAAAGCTACAGAATAGACTTGATTTCAAGAGTTCTGGGGGAGCTGCAGTGATTGTACTAATGCAAAATGCATCATGTTATTGCCTTCATTTTTGTTTTTTTGGGAAAAATAGTAATTTAATTTCCCGTTTGCAACTTGTCAATAGTACATGTCACCACTGAAATTCACCATGTAGTAAGGACAGATCTAAAGGAACTTGGCTCTCTGTAGTTAGACAGGTTTCAGAGTAGCAGCCGTGTTAGTCTGTATTCGCAAAAAGAAAAGGAGTACTTGTGGCACCTTAGAAACTAACCAGTTTATTTGAGCATAAGCTTTTGTGAGCTACAGCATCCGATGCAGTGAACTGTAGCTCACGAAAGCTTATGCTCAAATAAATTGGTTAGTTTCTAAGGTGCCACAAGTACTCCTTTTCTTTTTGCAGTTAGACAATAACGAATTAGATCTAACTGAGCCTCATACACAGGTGATGCCTTCCCTTTTAAAGGGCAGAGGGAATTTTAAGCTCTTTTGGAAGCTGTAGCACAGTTGAAACGCTGGCTGACTTGGGTAACGTGGAAGCTTGTTGATTTAATTGTCAGCCCTGCTGTTCTCTTTTGACAGTGTTGCTTTTCTCTTTAGGTGAGACATCTCTTCACCTTGGGTGAGACTGCACAGTTATGTCCAGCCAAAGTGGAGAAACGCATCTTTCTTTTGATTCAGTCTATTCTGGCTTGTCCTGTCAATGTAGATCAATGTGAGGCCCTCCCTTTACTCTTAAATTTGCATTTAGGAACTAAAACTCTCTGGTTTTGAGGGTATTTTAATTTTTGGTCTGTTGTTTCCCAGTGTCTAGTCCTCCAGATGGTGAGGAACTCCCAGTTTCTCAGCCACTGTCCCAAATCAGAGGATCTGCTATGCCCTCAGTGGTCAGAGCCCATGCGTTCATTACACTAGGTAAGAGCTGCGCTGTCATGGGAATAGATGCTGTGTACCACTGATTCCTACCCTTTTCTCTCTTCCCTGGTTACAATTGCTACAGCTGTTCTGTATGAGCTTAGACACAGAGATGAACTGTATTCAGTGTTTATAGTGATACAGCTCCAAGCTTTCAGATAACTCCCTGCAGTGAGTATGCACACACCAATAAAAATATGTAACTTTACCATATCTAACCAGTGAATAGCACAGTTAGCGGGACCTGAAGAACCCTGCAGACTTGCACCAGCTTGGTGGCATCTGATTATGGAACTACGTGATGCACAAGAGGCTCAACAGGGGGATGGAGGGAATTCAATGCTTTCCAGAGCAGGCTGTGTTAGAAAAGCTGTCTGACAACAGTTTATATGTTTGACTTATACGAATGATGAGCCAGAGCCTTTGTGTTAAAGGCCAGGTAGAATATTTGTCTCCTATATAAGCTCTGCTTTATACTTCCTGTGTGACTGTGGACATATCACTTCTCTAGTGTGGGAGTACTATTGCTTCCTCACTTATGCACCTCATGACGCTTAATCCTTTGTTCTTAAAGAGCTTAGAAACATTTAGAGGTGCAAAATATTAGTGTTATTTTTAAAGGCTTCCTAGTAATGTTATTGGGGTGGCTCTTTTCTTGTTATGCATAGGACATTAGGCTGCACTCTGAGCTCCCTATGGCCCTTTGGAAAAGAGGAAATGGGGTTACTAGATCCATGATATAGGCCTCATGTTTTCACAGAAGAGGGATGTGACAATCCTCCTCCTTGATTACATTTCCCTTGAGGTGGGTTGTGGGTTTCTTATACAGTCTCCACTAAGACTTTCTTGCTTTTATTCCCTTATTTACTTCTTGCTCTCACTATTTTCTGCTTTCATTTCTCCTTGGCCTTGTTTTTCTGTCCATGTGTTTTGACTTGTATGCCCCCAAGAGGATGTGGAAAGATAGCCCTGAGGAGGTGAGGAACTGTAACATTCATAGCCCCAATTCTTTCCTCCCTATGTGACAGGTAAGCTGTGTCTGCAGCATGAGGATCTAGCAAAGAAATGTGTCGCAGCCCTCGCTCGTGAGCTAGAGGTGTCTGAGGATGTGGCCATTCGCAATAACGTTGTCATAGTTATGTGTGACCTGTGTATCCGCTACACCACCATGGTGGACAGGTACATTCCCAACATCTCCATGTGCCTGAAGGACCCGAAGCCCTTCATCCGCAAGCAGACACTGATCTTGCTTACCAACCTTCTTCAGGTGACTAGCGGGCTTAGGCTAGTTCTCACTACTCCATTCCAACAGCCTCCATCATACAGAATGTTAGCAACCTGCACAATGCATACGCTGCTTTCAGATTGACCCTAAAATACCCTTTCAATCTCCCCACACTTTAAGATGCCCTTAACAGTAAACTGTTACTGCCATAGTTCGTTAACTAGGGTGAATAAATAGACTTCCAGCATGGTAGTTCAGCAGGCTATCCAAATGATTTTAGTTCAAGGTTTGTCTATCATGTTTTTTTTCTTGAATCTGCAATTTCACCCCCAGTAGATGGGTGTAACAGGTGTCCACCAAGCAGAAGCAGGGCACTAACCTTCTCTGGTGATCTATCAGTTATGGTGTGGACGTCAATATGTGAGAGGCAGAAGATAGTCTACCCCCGGTTTAATAATGTATCCTAGGTAGGCAGACCACCAATGTGTTAATTCATGAGAACAGTGTAAAGGAATGCCTTTTTGGCACCTCAGCATTGGAGTTCAGATTTTCTCTCTCTTCCCTTGTTCTGCTAACATTTAATGGTAAATCAGGACACTTGCTGCTATGGCATTTAAATAAATGTACTATTTTCAGAATTAAGGAATCTTGAGCTTTATTTTGTGTGCCTCCTGATATGACCCAGAGGGTGTATCTGGGTGCAAGCTGAAAAATCAAATAGGGTCATTCATTCCTGGTTCATGCTGATGGTTCACTGTCTACTTCTTTCCTGTAGGAGGAGTTTGTGAAGTGGAAGGAGTCCCTGTTCTTCAGATTTGTCAGTTCTCTGGTGGATCCCAACCCAGATATTGCAAGGTAGGATACCAGTTCCATAAACTATCCGGATAGCAAAGCAAACTGAATCTCACATCCCAGCTGTTAATTCTGAATGTAACAGAGAAATCTCCATGAGAAAGATTATGTGCTCTCTAATCCCTGCCCACTTTCTCCCTAGTTATGCCCTAATAAAATTTTGAAAATGGGAATGGAGGAGTGGGAAACTTCACTCCGAGCCTGACCTGATCTGAAAGTACAAGAGTGACAGGAGGGAGAACAGTGAGCGATACAATCTGTTCCCTCTTTCATGTGTGCATGGAACTGGGTACTGGCCTCTAGGTCAGAGGGCATGACTGGAGAGGCCAGTTACTCTTTCCATGTGTCCAGGGAAAGCCGATGCGGGCCATGAAAATAATGGAAGTAGTCATTGGGAGCAAGGAAGAGGGTCCAGGGAAGCAGTTAGTGTCTAGGAGAGGGAGGATGTAGGGCCATTCCAGATCATAGTTCATTTAAAGCCCCAAGTCTGCTTTATAGAACAGGCAGGGCAAGACTCCCCTCTTTCCCAAGCCAGTGTTGCCTGGTGTTTGGAGTTATTAGGCCCACTTGGGGTGGATCAAGAGACTGAGTTGACTGAGTGGGTGACTCAAAAGTAGGTTCCAGGCCCGGTCAAGGAGGAGCTGCTGGAAGGAGCTGCTGAGAGGAAGAATTCAGCCAGCACACAGGCCCCAAGAAGGAGGGCTATGCAACCCCTGAACTTGAGGGGAGAAGAGTTCGCAGGCCATAGAGGCCAGGATTTAAAACACAGTCCCCCTGGATGTAGAGCTGTGAAACCTGGAAACTAAGGGGAGGTCAAAAGGGCTCTTTAGGGAACCAGATGATATTTAATATTCCTTCTCTCCTGGACTTGAATTTATTAAAGATTCTGGGTGTAAACTGGAAGGAAACTGAGGTAGGGTGCCAGAAAGGACACATCAGGCCACAAGGGAGTACCCTAGGGTGGCACTGACTACAGGGCAGCTCTGCCCTTTCTATCTTGCCTTGATTTACATACATGTGGGAATGGGAACTTTGAAACAGGTGTTCTAAAAACTGCCCTCCCACTTTACATAGTAGACTTAGGTTACAGTTCAATACTCTAACTTGTTTTTGCATGTTGTTATTCATTTTCCTTTTAAACATCATACCATGGCTTGAAGATCTCCTGCGATACTGATACCAGGGATCCTGCAGAATTAATCTGAAATCTGAATTGCTTGGGTTCTGTGGGCTTAAAGATCTTGATTTTACCCAAATGTAGTTCAAAAGATACCATAAGTTATTACTGTCTGACACCCATTTTGGCCTTGGTGCAGTAATTTGGTGGTTCTGGTCTAGTTCTTACTGTATAGGTGTTAATATAGAGCTCCACCGTATTTGGTACTGACAAGGACCCTTGTTGTCTGTCTCAGTAGGAAGGGCAGTGACTGAGTGGGACGTGGAGAGATGAACTCCCTTGCAGGTTACTCCTCTAGGGAATGGATGGGTAGATGATGCGTGCAGCGGAAGCTTGCCCAACCGCTGCCAGTGTTCCTGCTTACTCCAAATAAATTGAGGATTACAGTCAGGGCCATCAGTCTGGGCCTGTTCATGAGCACTTTTATAATCAATCCTGGCTCTTCCCAGTAGATGGCGGCATTGCTGCATCGTATTCACAGTGCTTTAGGTATGGAACAATAACAGTTTCTGTTGGGAGCCCGTTTCTGGGCATTTATATTCAGCAGGTGCACACAGACAAAAACCCTTTATTCCAGGCTGGGATTGACATACAGCTCTTGGTCTTGCAACGACTAACATTGCAAAATATATAAAATTGGATTTTTGTTTAGTTTTCTTCCCTTTCTGAGTTCTGGGAAGTAGAACATTATACGTGCTTTGATTTTCAGCTGCTGCTTTGTACTCTCTTGGCAATTAAGCTAATTTGTCAGGTGCTTATTCTGTTGCACATAACTGGTGACTTTTGATATGGGGAGAAGCGACGGGGATGACTTTAGACACACCCCAGTCATAGGCATGTCAGAAGGTAACTACTGCTTCTCTACATTAACTGCTTTTCCTGTTGTTCTATCGTACAGTAGATTGAATTCAATTTGAATCCTTGAAACAAAATACCACTTGAATCAGCACAGTTACCGATTCTCTCAGATCAATACTAATTATTAACTTTCTGGGAGGGAAAACAACCCTACTGACCTGATAATTGCTCCTTTTTAAGGCAGTTAACATTTTCTTTTCCAATGACCCATTTAAAGTACTCGAATGAAAAGGTTTTGCTTGGGCAATGATCGGCGTTGTTTCAGTGCCCACACAGCTATTTACATCTGGAATAGCGAACTTCACCCCAGGTTCAAATAGGGTTAATGGCCTGACTTCCAGTAGTCTCCCAAAGCACAGTGATTCATAGCAAAGCGTCAAGCTTTCTTCTTACCTCACCATAATGTGCTTGGGTTTCGCCTGCATGGTGTCAGTGCAGGGTCTCACTGACTACATAAGCTGCAATTGCTAGGCACGGCCTGCTGAGCTGCTGACTGAATGATTCGGCCTTCATTTTAGCTCTCGAATTCTTACCTTAAATCACATCTGTAACAATTGCACATCAAACTTATTAATATGGGCAGCCTGCTCAAATGGGGATGAACTGTATGAGGCCCTTAGGACTTGCTTAGGGAATGTATTTAAAGGTGAGCTGCCAGGGAATTTTTTTTTTTTAATGGCTTCTGCCCTTTTTCCCATTTCTGATTTAATAAGGCATGGGAAAATGTGGTTGGGGGAGTTGAGAAGTTTCTCCTTGCTTTCTAACTGAGAAACAGCAAGCCTGGTCTACCCTGGTAGTGCAGGTGTATCTCCTGGATGTCAGAGAGCATGTCTGTGAGTTCTCCCTCTTTCATATGTGGAATGGGGGTAGCTGAATCTTTAACAAATGTCTAAAATGTTAATAACTAGAGTTAGAGAGCTGATGATAAAAATCCCTCCCCTTAAATAGCTCAGGTTTCACTCTCTAACTCTTGCAATGCTAGAGACAAGGTAGGTGAGGTAATATATATTATTGCATTTTTTAATTGGTAATATCTTTTCTTCCAGTCCTGGCATTTTGCTAGTTCTCAAGACAACACTGTTCTAAGGCAGACAAAACCTGAAATTCATATATAAAAAAGCAAGGAGAAACCCTCTCCGTTTTCCCCTTCCGAAAAAGACAGGCCTTATGGCTGTATCATAAATAAAGCCAAAGTGCCCTATGGCCCTTTTTAAAAATCCTTTGTAGATCCCTTTTTAAACATAGGTCTAGACAAAATGAGTGTCTAACAATTTTTGTTGTTAGGATCCCCCCCCACCCCACCCCACACACACTCTTATGAACCATGTTTAAAAATCATGTTCCACCTAGATGCTTTTTAGCTTTATTTCTGTCCCTCCCCTATCTCCTCCCTGGGCTTACCTTCATGCAAGCGTTTTTCACTAAAGCAACCTGTAGTTCAGACCACTGGATTGGTGTAGGGATAGATCTCAAACCCTTTGCATTTCACACTACACACATACATAGCAAATACCATCTTCCTTTCCGTAGAATTCAGAGAACTCAGGTGATACCTAAAGCCAGGTATATATGGGTAAAGGTCTTTAAACTTTCTGCAGTGAATGTGTTTCTGATCTCCCAGAATAGCAAAGGGCAGAATGTAAACTACTATAAAATGCCAGATTATATGGTGAAGGCATGACATCGGAGAGTAAGTGATGCGTAAGAGCTCCCTGCACCAAAACCTTTTCCAGGCCAGAGGTTTTTTTCCAATCTATTCCCCTTGTGAATGCTTTACTACTGTGCAAACATGCCTAGCCTCCACCTGTTGGTGACCCTTGTGCCTCAGGCCAGGCCTCAGCTGCTGTCCATTGGTCAGATCACCTGATGATAACTCAGTCCAGGAAACTCCCTGAATATTTTCCCAGTACACAGGTGTTTCCTGAGTGAGCATCATCCTTTGTATTTCTTGATAGGAAGTAAAAGCAGTTAAGTGTTGTTTATGACTTTTCCATGCACAACCCATTCAGCAGCTCCTGAAAATTCTGCCCAGACCTCTAGTGTAAAAACCAAAAAGTGGACCTGCAAAGTTAATTGAATTCATAAGTTAAAGTCTGTTTCAAGGACATGGGACAGCTTGTTGCAAAAGTCTAATGTCTCATGGAATGTACTGTTTTGCCCCTCAACTTGGCTTGCTGTGGACAGCCAGCAGCATTGGCAAGAGCCAGATCTAATGTGAGTAAGAACTATGCAAGCTTTCATATACAGCTGTGCCTGTGCGTTTCGCTGTAGCCGAGACCCTCCAGTTCAGTACTTTAGCTTTCCTGGTCCTCTGATCTTGTGTCCCCACAATGCTCTGCTAAAATACCTTTATATGAGCAGGCTTTCATATCTTTTCCAGCATTTGCGTCCTGTTGTTCCAATTTAGCATCCTGTCCCTAGCAGCAGCTGCCATTTGGGTGGTAGCTTTGAAATGAGATTGTAGTTACACATTCTCATAGTGCTCATCACAGTCATGTCTGAGCATGACACAGACATGACTGTGTTTGTCCTCACAATCCCCTTGTGAAGTAGGAGAAACTCCTCTTTCCATTTTATAGATGGGAAACCTAAGCGCAGAGCAACTAAGTGATTTGCACAAAGTCACACAGGAAGTTTATGGCAAAACCGGGTATTAAATCTAGTTGTTCTGAGTTCTAGTTGAGTGCCTTAACCACAAGGCAATTTTCTTCCTTCTTTTGTGTGTGGCCAAACTCCGACTCCCAGTCAAACCTGAATCTCATCAGTCAACATAATCCAAGGTCACTGAGCTTGCAAAACCTTTGTCATTGTTTATTTAAACTACTGTCTTGATCCACAACAGCGTGTACCAGGCTGAGAGGGATGAAGAAGCCTTCTGTTTGTAACAGAATCTTGTATTATCAACTCAACTGACCATTGTCCAGGCTAAAGCTGTAATTACTCTAAGTGCCTAAATCCCTTTTGAAAATATGTAGGCTCCTAAATCAGCTAGGTGTTGTGATGCTGGGTGCAGCAGTGCCTTGATACCTTTAAAAATCTGGGCCTTAGTCTCCTAAGTGTCTGTCACTTTTTAAAACAGGACTTAGGCTTGGAAGTCACTATAGGGCTTGTCTACACTTACCGGGGATCAACGCACGGCGATCGATGTCAAACGCAGCTTGCTCTCCCGTTGACTCCTGTAGTCCATCTGAACAAGAAGTGCAAGGGGAGTTGACGGGAGAGCGTCTGCAGTTGACATCGCGTAGTGTGGACCCCGCGGTAAGTAAATCTAAGTATGTCGACTTCAGCTCCGTTATTCACGTAGCTGAAGTTGCGTAACTTAGATCCATCTCCCCCCATAGTGTAGACAAGGCCAAGAGTTATTGAAAATGTTATGCCTGGTTTATTGTTCATCAAAGTTACTTCTCTCTCTCTCTCTCTCTTAACTGTGTTGAATTATAAAGAGAAATAAATGTGCACCATAGATGCTGAAAGCTTTTCAGCACAATTCTGGATGGGGGAAAACGGGGCTTAAAGTAAATAGTTCAGCATCTTTCTCAAAGCCCTGATGTGGGAGAGAAAGTTACTACAGAGAATTCTTTCCTGGGTATCTTGCCCACGTGCTCAGGGTTCAGCTGATCGCCATATTTGTGTCCGGGAAGGAATTTTCCTCCAGGGCAGATTGGAAGAGGCCCTGGGGGTTTTTCGCCTTCCTCTGCAGCATGGGGCATGGGTCACTTGCTGGAGGATTCTCTGCACCTTGAAGTCTTTAAACCATGATTTGAAGACATAGGTGAGAGGTTTATCGCAGGATTGGGTGGGTGAGATTCTGTGGCCTGCATTGTGCAGGAGGTAAGACTAGATGATCATAATGGTCTCTTCTGACCTTAATGTCTATGAAAGGGTTAAATGTTGTATTGAGGAAGATTTAATTCTCCAGAGTCTGTTTCTGTCATGCCCTTTGAGTACAACCTGTGGGGTTGCTGAATTAGCAGGACACCTCGCTATAATTCAGGAGGTGGCCCCCAGAATGAAAGAGGTTTTCTGGTGGTTCTAATTTTTCAACTCTGTATCCAGGTTTGGGGAGTTCTGCCTGGTGCACTTGTTACTGAAGAGGAATCCAGTCATGTTCTCCCAGCACTTCATCGAGTGCATTTTCCACTTCAACAGCTATGAGAAACACGAGAAGTACAACAAATTCCCCCAGAGTGAGCGGTCAGTGAATATTTGGCCACCTCTCTTTTAATGTTAATGGGAGTTGCATGTGAATATCAGTGTGGTGCTGGGCATGCAGTCTTTGGGCCTGGAGCAAAGCTTTCTTGGTCACTTTTTATAGTGCGCGGCAATGAAAGATAAAATCCTAAGAATAATTCATATTAAGGTAACAACGCTCTGCCTTCCCCCGGCACCTTCCATGAGAGACTTCTGAATAGTATGTGTGGGTATGTGTTATGCAGTAGGTTTCTAGACCTTTAAGGTGGCATTCAAATGTTTCTTGCTAGATTTAGTCTAGTTACTTCTGTAATTCCATGTACATGTGTTAGCCCGAGGTAAAATGTCTTTATCTATACAGGGAGAAGAATCTCTTTTCTCTGAAGGGGAAAGATAACAAAGGAAAAAGAATGCAGATCTACAGGTTCCTGCTAGAGCATTTTACAGATGAGCAAAGGTTCAACATCACTTCTAAAATCAGCCTGAACATCCTGGGTAGGGGCATCATTTTTGGCACAGAATGAGTACTGTAAAAATAAATCCTATGATGAGCCAGTTGCATCGGTTTAGCCTCTGGGTGCAGCACAGGGACCCTTCTGCCCTGGCTTATGTTTAGCAGCATGGTTCTGGGAATAAAAATCTTCCTCCTCCTGATCTCTTACAGCATGCTTTGTGGATGGCATCCTCCCACTGGACATGGAAGCCAATGAGTTGCTCTCAGATACATTTGAAGTCCTTAGCTGCAAAGAGATCAAACTGTCTGCTATGAGATCTAAACCAGATGAAGATATCCAGCCAGTTGAGGATGAAATGGCCATGGCCAATGCTGTCATGCAGGCAGCACAAAAGAAACTCATCTCACAAGTGAGTACCACTTGGCATGCAGTGGGAAGAGTGGGCACAGCACTGAATGAAATCTAAACCTGCAGGTAGGGACAATCTTGAGTAAAGTCATTGATCTATAGTAGGGACTGCCACCCATCTCCCCAGATTATATGCCCATACATTCCTTGTGATCTGGGGACAGCAAGTGAATCTGTGCAAGCAGCATGTGTTGCAAAATGAAAATGTCCTATAAAGGAGTGATGATTTCTGGAGGTTACCTACACTTGAACAGACAATTTGAATTAGAATGTGCTAGCAGTTTGGTGACTAACATATGTAAAATGATTTCTCCCTAGTTCAAGAGCCCAATTCAGACTTGGTGTAAACAGACAGGACTCCACTGAAATCAGTGGAATTACACTGTGGCTCAGTTTGGCTCTAAGAGACACTGACGGGTGAAGCGTTTGATGTTAATGATAGGTTTTGATGCAGCTGTCAGCAGCTTGCCATTAGAATGACTGACGTGGACCATCGTAAAAGGCAGATCATGGATTGGGATAAAGTGAAACCATCACTACACGTGTGTTTATATTAAGCTGTTACTCATTTATTGTTTAGGGGCCATTTATCTACATAAGAATGAAATGAACCATCCCTTGTTCTGTCATGTTAAGTGTTTGTGTGTTATTTAAACTACAGGTTCAGAAGAAGATCTTCATAGAAAACATCATCCCAATAATCACTTCTTTGAAGTCTTTGTTGGAACAGACTAGGATTCCAGCTCTGAGAGACCTCATGAACTATCTCCGGGTAAGGAAAGACTTGTGATTTTCTCTCAGGTTGCGAATTTGGAAGTGTGGCCAGAAGTAGAACCCAAGGTAGAGCCCTGCGTAGGCTGTTTTTTAATCCCGCTCCTGTCCTGCCCCACAGTATCCACTCCCACCCGCTCCTGCATTGTTTCTTGCATTTTTATTCTGTTCCCCCGGCAAAAACCTTAGATCTTACAAATGCCACAAGAGAGACAGATTGCCACGTGCTACTAAAAAAATAAACACAAAATTGTCAGTTTCTAAAATATTTTTATACACACACACACACACGCACGCACACGGAATTCAGATACAATTTTTACCACTAAAAAAATAAAACAAATCTTGCTTAAACCATGTAAAAAATACTTTAACTCCTGTTATAATAGACATCGAGTCTCTCTTTTTATCCCTTGCTTAAATTTAAGTATTAAAACCTTTATTTTTAAAAAAACCAAACTTACTTCACAGTGCTGAAATTCTGTTTATGACAAACTGGTGATTGATTTAGTGCAAGTTACCACCCACCCAATCCTGCCCACAATAGAGTATATTTTTCCTGTTCCCGCTGTTATTTCCATTCCCACTGCATGGCTTTAACACCATATGAGGAGGTTTTGAAACCCAGTAAAACGTATTGTACAGCTTTGTAGGGTAAACCATTCCTTTCCGATAGCCAGGTTGCTCTGGTGGTGATGGGAGTACAGAAGAGGGCTGCGTACATTAAGTAAAAGGCTTCCCTCTGTGGAGTGGGCAGAAACCTTCAATGTTCATAACAATGAGTAGCATTATAAAGTCAGGAATCAGCGGTAGACCTCTTTGATAGACTCTCTCTCTTTCATTTAAACAGAAACAGTTCTGCTGTCCCAACTAGCGTTTTCTTTTGGACTTTCAGAGCTATGATGTGAACATGGGCAGTAAGTGCTGGTCAGCTGAGATTTTAAGATGGGGAAGTAAAATAAATTGACTGTTGTGTCTTCCAGGAAGTGATGCAAGATTATCGGAATGAAATCAAAGACTTCTTTGCGGTAGACAAGCAGCTGGCAGCTGAGCTGGAGTATGACATGAAGAAATATGAAGAGCAACTGGCCAGGGAGAGAGAGATGGGAGAAGGTCAGACAGAGGTCATCAATGTCATGAACACAATACAGGTATTGGCTGCCACCAGAGTAAGGTGTATGCTGCAATAGCACCCAGTGGTCATACAGCTTATAGCTATAGATCATGCTACAGAACCAGTGGATACCACCTGCCTGGTTTTCCTCTATCTATCTTACCACAATAGTTCCTGCTGACCAGGGCTTTATTTTTTTAGAGGCATTGATAACAGTTTTAAAAACCCCATCCAGACAAAAACCCATACCTCTCACACATCCATAAATTCAAACAGATCTTCCAATCTAATATACTATGTGCATTGCTCTGTACTTCCACAGTCAAAATATCACTCGTCAGTTTCAACTTCACTTTCTAGGCAATTTCAGTTCCTGGTTCTCTTTGTACTAGAACAATCCTGCAATGTTTGTTTGCAAGATATTCTCAGAAACCTTTGTCTACACAGCCTGAAAAGTTAGGGAGAACATTTTTTGTACAAAACCCAAAACTGCAGGTCTAACTTGAGAGGATCCATTTGAACTTGCTGGCTGTGGCCAGTCCTTTGCTAACTGGCAAAGTTCTTTCTCTCAATGGGTGTTGAGGAACTGGCAGCTGTATTTCTCACAGCTCCTTCTGTGATAGGGACCTCTCTCCCTACATTACACCTTGTGAAGGAAACTGTGTCACTACTGAAGTAACTCACCCTTGACTAGAAATAGCTAAATTATACGTCTCGTCAGATTTTGTAGGACAAGACTTTCAAAAGTGATGAGTGATCCTTAGCGCCTCAATTTTTGACTACATAACATAACATTGTAAAGGCGCTTGACTTTCAACTCCTGCCATTGAAATTGAGACCTCTTTTAAGATGTCAGGTTGAGCCTCCAGATTCACAAGTGATTTTTGAAAATCTTGGCCTGTAGATACTGCTCCTTGGCACGTCTTAACCAGACACATCGTATACATAACATGATATAGTATGTGTGTGTGACAGTCATGTAAATTACATGCATTAAACAATGGAATTATGGCAAACCCATTTCCCCTTCTCTTCCCTAGCAGTCCCCAAGTTCAGACACAGCGGTACCTCCTAGCTGCCCCAACAACAAAGCCCAGTCACCTGTTGCTGAGAGACGGTCTTTGTCGTCTGGATCTCCTGCTTCCCCTTCTCCATTTGGGTTTACTACACCCAGAGCTGGCATTTTGAAACAGCAGCCATTTAGACCCAGGTATGGATTGCAAATTTACAGTAGGTTAGAATGATGCTGTGCAGACGGGCATTAGGTAATGTGTCAAGGCTCCAGAGCCATTGCATTGCCTGTCATCTTCTCTTTGCTCAGCTCAACAATGTGAATACCAGCAGTAGTTAGACCCTGCTGTTTCACCATAGCCTTATCTTTTGTGTTCTCTGTGAGTGTGTGTGTGTGTGTGTATGTGAGAGAGAGAGGTTGCTGGGGATTTGAAAGTGAGTTGGGAGTGAGCAAGATCTTCCCTACATCTTCTCTTCTGGAGTGACTTGTAGAAGGAAACTCCTTAGAGCATTTGTGGCTTCTTTTGCCCAATAGGCAGATGTCCCTGAGCACGCTTGCCATCCTGAACTCTGCCAAGAAAGCCATGGAAGCCAGTAACAAGCAGCGCAGCAAAAGTGTAGGAGGAAGGCGGCCTTCTTCTCCAGCAAGCACAAGCGACAATAAGCAAGGTAAGCAGCCAGCAGCAGGCTTTTGCCCATTATAGAGCAGGTTTAATGTGGAAGCCACTTGGTCGTTTAGACCTCTGAGCAGGTGGTGTGGTTGTAGAACTGTCTTGGGGAGCAGCTTTCTGTCCTTAACTTTTTTTTTTTTCTTGTTACTTTTAGTATCTTTGTGTAGCCTAAACCAACAGTCTACTGGAGCGAACGTTTCCCTGGTGGGCCGAGCAATCAGTACTCCTGACCGTAAGTAACCCAACTGCATATGTTCCACGCTGCCCAAGAACTCCCTTGTTTGTACAGATGCACCAACGTAGCCCCCACTGTAGTGCAGCGGTAGTCAACCTTTCATTACTGGAGAGCCACTTATCTCTGGATTATTATATAGCTATATTGCCGTGGTGGCCAAATGAAAGTCTTCGAGAGCCAAAGCATGACGTCCTAGTGTGGAGTCAGTGTATAATAGGGTCTGTGCTCCTGGCTGATGAATGGAGGGAATGGTGGCTCCTTTTTTCTCCCAACTTCTGGGCTGCTGAGGAGGGGAGTTTGCCCTAGTTTTTCCTGGCTCATCATCTGATTGGAGTGTTCCCTAGACTGACCTACATCTCCCAGGCTGCCTGTGCTGTGCTGTTGCTCAGTGCTGCTTCCTGTGATCATCTGAAGCATGAACCGAGTACCACCACACTAGAAAGGATACCTGTTTGGCATTTGCCTTCGGTTCGATGAAGAGTCCAGTTCAGGGCCCAGCCGAGACCTATTCTATCACCGAAGGTGCTGACGAGCTGCAATAGCAGAAAGATCTTTGTACAATTGGCTTGGATCTGATAAAGTGGTATTAATAACCTATGAAGTGTTCTCAGAGAGTGAGCTCTTCTCTAAATAAGAGCTGAAGTGAGTGTTGGGGAAGCAGTAATCGTTTTGTTCTCAGCTGTGGAAACAAGCTATGTAAACTGCAGCAGTAATGAATTGGGAGAACTCTGATACACAGGTCACTCATAAGTGTCTCTCTGCCCATCATGTCTGTGGCAGCTAAATTACAGCCTCACAAAACCTAACCTTGAAAAATTTCCATTTATGGGAGCCATCTCTGATCTAGTTCCTGTGGGTTACACAATATCCCTTTTGTGATAATAAAAGACAGTTGATTATTCATTTCTTAGGACTTTAGAGTATCCGAATGACATATGGCAATACAAACGCTCCCCGGGTTACGCAAGACCCAAGTTACACAAATTCGCACTTACGGAAAAAGTTCCATAAGCCAGAAATAGGATTTTCGAATTGTGGAAATTTTTGCATAACGTACGGGTATACGTTTCTGACTTACGCAAAATTCGAGTTACACAAGGCTTTCTGGAACGGAATGATTGCATAAATCAGGGGGGCGTCTGTAATCCAGATCCCTCTGATCATCTAAATGAGGCAAGCACGTGCAGAGATAGTGGGAAATGTGGCAGTCCACTTCCTGTTATCCTTTTGGAGGAGACCGCTGGGGTAGTTCCTGGGTGGGCAGTACAGTGCCAGAGCCCCACTTTTGTACAGTTCATATGTACTGGAGCATGGATGCAGAAGGGACTATGAAATGTTACTGTGCTGAGCTGCCTTATCAATCCATTTAGTCTGCTCTCCTTTTCCTTTCCCACTTCTGAATTTCTTTAGGGCACATACTATACCAGTCGCTCTGCGTGTGGGATCAACTTCCTCACCCTCCCCCACAAAAATAAAGGAAACTCCATCTTAACTGTAGCAATGAGAGGTCGGCTGTCATTAAACAGTTTTGGCTTGATATTTGAAGTTAGGTGTGAACAATTGCCTGTACCTCAGTTGTGTAGAAATACCTCGTGTGCACACAAAGTGGGTATTCACATATCTGCATGGCCATTTAGGCAGCAGACTGGCTGCTTACATGTGCAAATATCTGATCTCCATGTGCAAAGAGAAGCCAAGCACAGACAACTGGTTACATTTAATGGACAATCTGACCCTTACCCATTGTGTATTCTCCACTCTTGTATGCTTGTTCCGTCTGTCTAGTTATCTACATCACACCAGTCCACTGGGCTACCTGACCACTTAATGCTTTTTGCAGATAAGATGTTGTCTACTGGGATGCTATACAGAACCAAAATCTTTCCTTCATCGACTGCATGTCTGTCTCGGGGGCTTGCGCTGCTGTTCCACTTAAGAGCCATATGCTGTAAAATGGGGAGAATGTTAATCCCCAGTGGCACCAGGCCTAAAATCCTTCTTTGTTTCCTGGCAGCCTGTGTTCTCAGCAGTGACAAGCTGTACAGTGCATTATCGCTGCTTCAGTTAATCTGTACTGAGGTGTCTGCACGATGGCACCGGGCCTTGTTGGTTGTTAGAGGATCAGAGGAGAACATATTTCTTTCTCTGGTCTGTCATTTGTAAAACTCTGCAGATGCAGTTCTTTATAAATCACTTCTGACTTCACATGTTGAGAGGCTGGCTAGCAGATCAGTCTCTGCCACCCTTGGGTCTTTCTCTCATCTATTGCTTGCTCTCGACAGTGAAAATGGGTAAGAGGGCCTGGGAGAGAATAGACTACTTCACTGTGGAATGTAAATGCAAACACTGGCGGTAACACTACATAATCTATGGAGGGCTTCAATAAAAACAGGGGGTGTGGAAAGAGTAGTTGTTAATTCTGTTTGCCATTTCGCTCTCTCCCTCTTACACTAAAAAGCTGTAGCATCCAGTAAAATGAGGCAGGTGTTGTCGTTTGCCATATGTGAAAACCACATTACCTTAAGGTAAGGCTTTCACTGCATAAAGTCAGGAAATTCAGAGGCCAGTTTCATGAGTCAAAAACCAATCCAGGCAAGACAGATAAAGCTGGACAGCAATGGCATGCCTTGGTGATTCCCTGATTATGGCCAAAGGCAGCTGGATTGTGGAGTCCTAAGGGTACCAGACAGCAAGTCAGTACCCTGAGAATGAGCCTGAGAGGCCAGAGACAGTGTCTGTATGCTCGATGCAGTAGGATTAGGAAGTATACAGGATCCTGTCTTTTGGATTCAAACGCAGCAGTCTGGTGAGTGTCCCGCAGGGGGAGCTCGATCAGGTGTGAATGAGATGGTGTGGACAAGCAGTTGTAGATTTAAGGAAAAGAGAACTCTCTGGTAGCCCCCAAAGCATGTAGGTTCCTTCAAGTCTAATAGTGAAAAACAGATTATCATGAACATGTGTATTTATGTTACCTTGAAGACTGAGGCACAGGCTTGCGCTCTATGCTTCCAAGACAAGAGGGCAGCTGGTGCTTTTAGAATGGCCTTGAATGACCAGTTCTTTGGCTTCCGGCTATATAGACTTCTAAGGATTAGTGTAGAGATCTACTGTAGGAAATGGAGGTATTTTGCTAATGCTGCTAGCTTCCTCTAGTAACCGCTATTCACACCGACTTGAACTTAAGGTTTTTTTTCCTAAATATTAAAGAACAAGTTGTACGGGGTAGTTAGGCTTTTAGCTAAACATCTACAGAGTTTTATTAATTCACTTGGCAATATGTGCCTCTGTCTTCCTCCTGAAGCACATGCAAACCTAAAAATACTAACACAGGCTATGACTTTACTACCCGGAAGGGATAGGGATTTGCCTTGTTTAGGGTCATTGATGCAGTTCCTACTCCTAGGCACACAGTGTGAAGGAAATTTTTGCAGAAGTTCTATCAGTATTTGGTATAAACTTGACTGTGGGCAGTGAGGATGATCAATCTCATTGCATTGCCTTTATTCTATGCAAAAGATGAGCTGATATCTGGTTCAGTGGGCCAGAAAGAAGCATGCATGCTTGTTTGAGTTGGGTATGAAGGGATTGTCTTGCCCTATGGCTGCATTACAAGCTGACTGCTGATCTGTGTGTTTTTTTCAGAGACCGTTGATAACTTGACCTTTGGGGCTGGGGTCAGTTTCATCAGCCTGACGCGCACACCTGCTTCAGCTCAAGGCAAGTTATTTTCATGCTCCTAACTTTTAAAAGAAAACCAAACCAAAAAAAAAAAAAGAGAGAGGATAAAATGTGTATGTTTAACTTGTAAATGTCGCTTGCAGAAAAAAAAGGATCCCAAGATCAACAAAAAGATGTTCTCTGTCTGACGTCACCTGATAAGCCGTAAGTTCAACCCAGGTCTTGGCGACCAGTGGCTATAGTTAATACCAGTGTCTTTTTTTTAAAAATTAACCAACAGTCATTGTTTCCTTTCTGTAGAGGGCCCCTGCCTCGTCAGTGGAAAGTAGAATCTCCGTCCAGGAGAAAAAGCAGCTCAACTGCAAGTCTAAGGAGATCCCTTCGGAAAGCTCCCCTGAAACCAGCCAACTGATCCTTCCCCATCCACACAGTGTGTAGTTCCGAAACGCTCTTGTATAGAACCTTCATCACGTTGACCATGAACTACTCCTCTTCCCTTTACAGTTATAATTATGGATCATTGTGTGTACAAGTGTCCCTCCTTATCCCCCTCTATTTTATTTGTTTATATTCACACACGCATACAAAAGTTTGCTTTGATTTATAAACTGGAGCAGTTAATGACATGCTTTGCTGTAGGACAACTGGGAGTGCCAGGAAGCTGCAGTATCTAGTGATGGCTGACTATTCACTGCACAGGACTTATGACTTGTCCATTTTGAAACGTAAATCTGTCTTGGCCATAAGCTCTGGCCCATTGTAAGTGCAGCCATTAGGAATGCTGGCTTGGTTGAACCTGGTATGTTTGTCACAGCTTGTAACCTTACATGACTGGAATGGCTATTGGCTTAAATCATTCCCTTGGTGTCATGCTGTCCCCTGTTCATAATATTACTAGTTTCTATATTTTCTACAAATCTAGAATAGCTTGACACTGTCATACCTGCAAATCTGATATAAATGCAAGTGATTAAGGATTTATGTGTAGTGAAAGGTCCATTCTATGTATATATAGCCTTCCTTTTCTTTCCTAAATGGAATATTTCCACTCTTGGAAGTTCTTATTTCCAGCTGTTACAATTTTATGAAAAATAAATGTTTAGAGAACAAATTCCACCCACCTCTCTGCTTTTCTTGCTTTGATAAAACCAAATTATTTTCTTCTGTTAATCTCTAGCCTTACTGCATTCACCTTATTTCTTGCCCACTGCTTTTGTCTCTCCCATGCCTACATTGAAGCTCTACTGGTCTGACAGTCACCCCAACAGCCGTTGTGCTCATCCATATAAATACTTGAATTCCTGTGGGATCCCCACCCATTAGAGCAGCTGCTTGCAGTGTCCCAATCCTTATGATCACCCATTCTCGGGGCTGGTGTATATGACAGCCAAATAAAGCCTCTACCACCAGCCGGCTGGTGTGACTTACACATACATTCAATGCAGCTGTTGGAACAGCAGATTTTGAACATGATCTTATTCATTTCACCGAAAGCAGGTTCTGAGTATTTTACTGAGGAGGGTAAGTAGTGTTGAATTTTAATGCTCAGTACAAAAACCCTATTTTGCTCTATGCAAAACACAAGTGTTAATGCTGGAACTGCAGCTAAGGTCGAAAGCCCAGCCGCCTTGTTGCCCAGGCATATGTGACTGAGATCTTCCAATGCTCAGCTTCAAAACTACTGCACTACCCTTGCATTACATAACTTGTTCTGTAGATCTCAAACTCTAAAACTTACATGACAATGCATTTCACTACAACCCTCTGTAAGCATTTATTTCTGTGCTAATAAGGCAAGGGCTGCTCCAGCACAAAAGGAAATTGAAAGACTGAAAAGGGAGAGGGGCAAAATTCAACTTCCATTTTTAACCTTACTAATACAGTGTTCAGAGTAACAGCCGTGTTAGTCTGTATTCGCAAAAAGAAAAGGAGTACTTGTGGCACCTTAGAGACTAACCAATTTATTTGAGCATGAGCTTTCATGAGCTACAGCTCACTTTGTCGGATGCATACTGTGGAAACTGCGGAAGACATTATATACACACAGAGATCGTGAAACAATACCTCCTCCCACCCCACTGTCCTGCTGGTAATAGCTTATCTAAAGTGATCACTCTCCCTACAATGACAGGTTTCAGAGGAACAGCCGTGTTAGTCTGTATTCGCAAAAAGAAAAGGAGTACTTGTGGCACCTTAGAGACTAACCAATTTATTTGAGCATGAGCTTTCGTGAGCTACAGCTCACTTCATCAGATGCTTCAGTGTACATCTGATGAAGTGAGCTGTAGCTCACGAAAGCTCATGCTCAAATAAATTGGTTAGTCTCTAAGGTGCCACAAGTACTCCTTTTCTTTCTCCCTACAATGTGCATGATAATCAAGGTGGGCCATTTCCAGCACAAATCCAGGTTTTCTCACCCCCCCTCCCCACCCCCATACACACAAACTTACTCTCCTGCTGGTAACAGCCTATCCAAAGCGACCACTCTCCCCACAATGTGCACGATAATCAAGGTGGGCCATTTGTGCTGGAAATGGCCCACCTTGATTATCGTGCACATTGTGGGGAGAGTGGTCGCTTTGGATGGGCTGTTACCAGCAGGAGAATGAGTTTGGGGGGGCGGAGGGTGAGAGAACCTGGATTTGTGCTGGAAATGGCCCACCTTGATTATCATGCACATTGTAGGGAGAGTGATCACTTTAGATAAGCTATTACCAGCAGGAGAGTGGGGTGGGAGGAGGTATTGTTTCATGGTCTCTGTGTATATAATGTCTTCTGCAGTTTCCACAGTATGCATCCGACAAAGTGAGCTGTAGCTCATGAAAGCTTATGCTCAAATAAATTGGTTAGTCTCTAAGGTGCCACAAGTACTACTTTTCTTTTTACTAATACCGTAGTCACTCCTAGGATTCTTCTTAAAGAACTTCAAGTGGGGTCAAATCTTAATCTCAGAATTAATGTAGCAAGATGTACAGGGTTAGTTCAAGTGGTTTTGAATGGAGGAATGGCTAACTATGACCACCTCCTTTTTCATTCCATCCTACTTACATCCCTCCACCCCAATTAACTAGGCATATTAAACAGAAAGACATCAGTGAATTGGTCATTATACTAAGTCTAGTTCAAATATAAAGCTATTCAGAGGTTTTCTTGAATTGTCTTGTCCATGAACAGAAACAGGGTATAGCCCATCAGGCAAGGATCCATCTCTTCTCGAGAAGAAATGGGGGTTGAAGAACTGCCCACAATAAACCAATTTGATGTAAGTATTTACATGTGTTTTGTAACACCAGTTTAGTTCTTTGTAAGTCACCAACTGAAGTAAACAAACAATCTGTCAGAAAACTGAAGAAATCTTTCACCCATTACATTGAATTCAAAGCAAACACAGATTAGGAATAAATATGAATTTAAAAAAAAACAACACAAGGATGCTTTAATACCTTGATATGTATGTAAAACATTCTTGGCAAAGTTAAATGTAATACATTAGTACAAACCTATAGATTAAACTATTTACAGCAAGTTCTGTAAATCAAATCTGACGAAGTTAAGTCTTGGGGGTGGGGGAAAGGTGGCCCTTCATCCCGGTAGAGATGCCACTGTCACATTTTTAGATCTGAAAAATAAATCTCTATTCTTCACCATGCAAAAATATGCAAGCTGAGAAATCCTGACTTCAGCAGAAGGTCAAGTGTCAGACAGTGCTCCCCACAGTGCCAGAAGCTAGCTTGACTCTGTCAGCTTTTTCCTTTCTCCCCATCTTAATGTTCTATAAGCAGCATAGAAAAGGAGTAGTGGATAAAACTGGAGGGTAAAGGAGCGTCTTAAAGTATGCTATTGTCATGCTGACTACAGGACAACATGCAACCAGTGTACAGGAATACCTAGTTGTGGGTGAAGAGCACATCTTAAAGGTAACCGTAAATCAATTGCAAGGTGTCAGTACCCTCTGGGTAGCACACCCCATCTTTACCTCCATCTATGATAGCAAAAGGAGAAAGTGGACTATGTTTAAATAAATGAAGCAATGGCATGTCCAACAAGGCCCCAAAATCACTTAATAGGTGGTGAAAAGTCCAAGGCAGATTAATACAGAACATGGAAAAAAATAACACTGACAGTCCAAATTGTCAAGTATTCAAAATACTGTATGCATCAAAAGTTAAGACAACTCAATTTGTTTGAAATACAAGAACACTAAATTATGCTACATTAAAAACCATTCTTCAACCACAGCACAGAACTGCTCTACTGTTGCATTTAAGTATTTCATATTTAACATTTGCCCAATGCCGCAAGTGTACATTTCTGAAGAACAGGGAACCCTAAATGATCCCTTAAAGCCAAGAAAGTGGTAGCATCTACCAGCTGAAGAAAGGTAGCAGCTTGAAAGCACTTTTGTGTCCAGCTTGTTGCTTTCACAGAGCTGGTTTCCCCGCTTCCGATGCGATCTCAAAATTCTGAAGAGACGGTTTAGCTGCCACAGAGTTAGAATGAATTTAGAGAACTAGCAGAGAGATTTATCATCTTCAGCAACCATTAGTCACTCTGTCACCTGGTCAGAACTTAGTTCAAAAACCGTCACAGGATATTTCTTGCAAATAAGCATTGGTCTTTTGCAAGAAAATAGTCGTTTGAAATATAAAATTGAATAGCTCCTGCCTTGAACTTACAAAAAGGATCCCTGAGTGACTATGTTCCATGTCCTATTAGACCTCTCTTGGGAAGGAAAATGTTGAAGCTAGCTTGGGAGAAAGAGGCTGCTTCTCTGTCCGCAGTTCATAAAGTTGTTTGTGCTGCACTCTGCAATAATACTGATATGCTCTGACAGTGCTATGCTGTAGCAGCATTTGAGCTCCTGGCTGCAGTTTAAAAAGGACTTGTTTTTTAAAAAAATAGCTACGTTAAAATAACACTGTTGGCATAACATATTTACACTTTAAATAGAAATGTTACCTTCGCTGAAGTAATCAAAATACATCTTTGCAAAAATTTAGAATGCAGAATTCTACAAAATCAATGGGGTCTGTAGAAAAGCTTGAATTCATCTCAGTACCATTGTGGGAATCAGCCCCCGAGAGTGGTTTTGGCTTTAAATTTCATAAAAGGGATATCTTAATGCTAAGGGTCTCGGCCTCCGGTTTTAGAATCTTAAAAATAACTCCAGAACAGGTAAGCCTGCTTTGTGCAAATTAGAGTTGAAAGCTGCCTGCATACAGTGAGTATTTTATGTAAAACTGAACAAAAGCAATCCTTTTGGAGTGAAGCTGTACATGTGGAGAAAAGAAAATTCACCACTGCTGGCAGAAGGGCTGCGACATTTAAACCAGTTAGTTGCTTGTACTATATCTCCACCCACCACTGTGGGTTTGACTCAGATTCTGGCTCTGCACCTGCAGAACCAAATCCTGATGGGGGTTCCTAAAGTCCACAGAAATGAAACATTTGAGGCCAATGCGACATGCTCAACAGGGGCCAGCTAGTGAGATCAGTAGCCTGCATGGCTCATGCTCAGGTGGGGCTCTGCAGGACTGACATGATAGCAGTTCTGGCAGCTCAGCCTAGCAGGCCATTAAAAATAAAATGATACAAAGAAGGGCATGAAACCCTCACTTGCGAAGTTGGCAAGAGCCCAGTACAGTTACAACTATAAAGGTTGCTAGCCAGGCTCAGGCATTGTGAAGCTAAGCAGAAGGTTCTCCCCTTTTGTGGATAAATCTTATTTAGAATCTATTGCCACATCAGCACCATTTCTCTATCAGGTCAAGATGCCCATTTACCTAAAGCTTCTCCCCTGTTTGGCTTGGACATTCTGGCTGTGTATCTGCACCACAGGGAGAAGGCAGTTCCATGAGCATCTGCAGCTCAGAAGGCTATGGCTGTGGAGGGGAATGCTCAGTCTTGGAAAGGGTAACAGCTCTTCCTTAGGAGGAGGAGAGATGTAAGTGGTCCAGGTGATATCTCTGGGGGAGGAAAAACACTGGTTTGGAGTGAGCGTTGTTAACTTTGGCAAAAGAAAGTCAAGTTTGTGTGTTTCTAAACTCTTCCGAGTGCACTTTGTTCATCTTTTTGCTCTTGCTTTGAGTTCCTAGAGGAGGTATTTCCATACTTGGTCTGGCTGCTTTGCAATATCCTTTTGGCATTTCAGATAACAAATGACGATTTGTGTCTGAAGTCACCCTGCAATGAAAGAGTGATGTGTGTCGCCACATTCCCC